GCCCCTCGTGAAAGTCCTACCGAAGATGGGCGACTGGAGAGTGGAGCTGGACTATTGTGCATTCGGGGAGGCCTGGAAGGAGCCCACGGGTTTCGTCGCGAGTGTGAGGGAGATGACCAGACTAGCGAGGAGGTGTCCTGGTACTTTTCGGTGTTGCAGTCGTACCCAGATGCCTCATCAAGAGTTGAGAGGCAGGTCGCCGTTCCAACCCAGGGTGGCCCAGCTGGCGTGCGCGTGCCCTCTCGAGCTTTTGCGCCTCTGCCGTATTGCGGGCATCATCCAGATGGTCGGCAGGATCAGAGGCTACTACCGAGAGTTCCTGTCGGAGCTCAACCTTGCGGACGGGCTGTCGAGGGGGCCGCGCATCGGCGTGACAGAGGAGATGGTTAAGCTGCACGTGGCCCGAGGCGCCCCACAGCGACTCTAGCGGCGCTCGCATCAGCGGCAGGCCCATCGAGCCACCGACGCTGGTTCGGCACATTTGCAGCCTTCGGGGTGCTGGTGGCGCAAGGGGGAGCCGTGGGGGATCGAGGCAGCTCGAGTCCACGTCCGACCAGAGCAAAGGGCACGAGTGCCCCGCCGCCTCTGGTCAAGAAAGGAGCGCGGGCGTGGGGCGAGGCGCAGCGTGACAGGCTGCTCTACACGAATCGCTTGGTCATCCACGCCGTGGACGACGCGACCAACCGGGTCTACCAGAAGGCCGTGCGCGAGTTCTTGGTGGACGTCAAGAGGAACCAGTTTGACTTTGACGCCTTCGAGGCGAGGGACCAAGCGCTGGCGGACTACATCTCCGACATGTGCCACGCGCGGCAGCTGGGCTTCGGGCGAGCCAATGTGCTGTTCAACGATTTCATGCGCGTGTTTCAGGACCACAGGGGCCGGCTTCCGACGTCGGCCAGGGCGCTGAAGCCGCGGCAGAAGTTGGGACAGCTGGGGAAGGCGCGCCTGTTCCCATGGAGGCGGTCGGCCTGGTCATCGGCAGGATGTTCCGCGCTGGCCAGCTGATCGAGGGGGCGGCAGTGCTCACGCAACTGGACGGCTGGCTCAGGGAACAGGACTGGGGCCAGCTCAGGGCCGAGGACGCGCCCGAGGGACCCGGGGGCCAGCTGGCTTTCACCCTGGGCAGACGCGAGAGAGGGGAGAAGGTCAAGACGGGCTCGAACCAGGGCGTGGTGATCTCATGGCCGGTGACAGCGGCAGTGGTGCGCACCCTGCTGCGGGGCTGCGCTCGCAGGGACCTCGTCTTCCCCGCGTCGCAGGACAAGTTCAGACGCGAGTGGCGCAAGGCGCTGGACGACGAAGGGCTTGCTGGCACTGGCCCCCCGCGCGCCATACGGCACTCGGGGGCAGCCAGCTTCGTGGCAGGAGGCGGCTGTCTGGAGGCTGCCCGCCGCAAGGGCAGGTGGCAGACGACGGCAGCGCTGGCGCGCTGCACGAAGACCCACATGCTGATCAGCCAATTGGGCAAGATGACTGACGGGCAGGCGCGTGCAGGCGTGAGCTTCTGGTCGGCGCCTGCGGAGGCGCTGATTAGATGGATCAAGGAGTCGCCCGCCGCTCAGACCCCACTGGCAGGTCATCTGCTGGAGGAGCTGGAGCGCGCGCGCGGCCGGGAGGTCGAGCTCCCGAGTTTTGACGGGGGGCGGGTGCTGACGACAGGTCGCCCCAGCACCGCCTCTCGCACTCGATACAGGCGCAAGGCAAGTGCCGCACGAGAGTCATGATTTTGGACTTGACAGTACTATTTCATTGATTTGCGCGCGTGGCAAAGCCCAGCCCTTTTGGCGGGTTAGAGGCCAGCACTATCGTGTATGTGTGTATACATATAACGGCGCACCGGGTCCGGGGGCCCGGGGCCGGGACCTCGACCACAAATGTGGGCTCCGGGGGGCCCGGAGGCTCGTCGGGGCTTGCCGGAGGCCTCCCCGGTCAGACAAGACGGCCCCAGGAACGCCCAAGACGGCCCAAGAAACTTCCAAGAGGCCTCCAAGAGGGCTCCGAGATGCTGAAGATGGCCTCCAGACGTCCAAGGACGCCCCCAAGAGGCCCCAAGAAGCTTCCAACATGCGTCCCAAGAGGGCCCCTAGACGCAAAAAATTGCCCTTTCCCATTCCCGTAAAACGTACATTTTCAACAAAGTTGTCTTTGGGGCTTTCCGACGTTACAGGACGGCCCAAGAGGCGCCCAAGACCGCCCCAAGACGGCCCAAGAAGCTTCCAAGAGGGCCCCAGGACAGCCCAAGAGGGCCCCAAGACGGCCCAAGAGGCGCCCAAGATGGCCCAAGAGGGCCCCAAGACGGGCCCAAGAGGGGGCCCAGAGGGGGACCACGAACCGCAAGCTCGAGCCTTCCGCCCCAAGAGGCCGCCAGGAGGCCCCCAGGAGGCCCCTCAAGAGGCCCCAGGAGACCCCAGACGTCCAAGGACGCCCCCAAGACGCCCCAAGAAGCCTCCAACATGCGTCCCAAGAGGGCCCCTAGACGCAAAAATTGGCCCATTCCCTTCGTAAAACGTACATGTTTCAACAAAGTCGCCTTTTGGGCTTTCCGACGTTACAGGACGGCCCAAGAGGCGCCCAAGACCGCCCCAAGACGGCCCAAGAAGCTTCCAAGAGGGCCCCAGGACAGCCCAAGAGGGCCCCAAGACGGCCCAAGAGGCGCCCAAGATGGCCCAAGAGGGCCCCAAGACGGGCCCAAGAGGGGGCCCAGAGGGGGACCACGAACCGCAAGCTCGAGCCTTCCGCCCCAAGAGGCCGCCAGGAGGCCCCCAGGAGGCCCCTCAAGAGGCCCCAGGAGACCCCAGACGTCCAAGGACGCCCCCAAGACGCTTCGCGTCACCAATTTCTTCTCACAACGATTCCTGGGTCTGTGACTCGACAGAACCTAAGCGCGCGCGAAGCGCGCGCGTGGTTCTAGTTGATTCTATTCTCAGACCTATCTTTTGATATAGTCGGTGCGTGCCTGGAGGCAGGTTGACGTGTCCCCTGTACTCCCCCGTCTTCCCTCAAAGTAAAGATCAGAACGACACTCGGACCGGGGTTGTTTATTAACAGGGGGGCTGGAGCACAACTAGATGAATAACCCTTTCCCTCCCTCCCTCATATGTTGCAAGGCTGGCGTTTTGGCAAGTATGCCAGTCTCGGTAATTTGGGGCTGGGACTGATGCGTTTCCGAGTTTCTCGCGGGCCCTGTGTGGCCTTGTGGCCAGGTCAGGCACCGCTCGAGGTTTGGGCCCAAGGTGGCTCGGCCACGCCTTCTAACACCTCGTGGGGGGACCTCCCCCTCTAGGCGCGCTCGCGGCACCTTCCCGGACGCTCCTGCTGCTGCGTCGGATGTTCAGTGCTGTGTTTGAGTGTGTTTGTCGCTCTTGATTTTCTATAGGGTTGTCGCTCCAGCTCCGCCTGCCCCCCTTTGAAGGTCCCCCCAAGCTCTCAGTACAAAGCTGGCTAATTATAGAGGCGTTAATGTAAACATATGTTTCGCAAGCCCTGGATACTCTCCCTCTTCGTCTTCGATCGTACCCCCTTTAGGGGGGGATGTCTTGCTTCATGCCACGCGCAATTGGCGCAGCCTTAGGCGGAAGGGGGCAATTGGGGAGTGCAATAGGGTCAGGAAGGGCAGCGAGACGGCCACGAATGCTACATCGGGGCCACGAAGGTCAGCGAGGGGGCCCAACACTTGACCCAAAGATATCACATTGTCTTCTTGCCGGGTCGGCCAACTAGCTTCACCTTTCGCCTGAATTTTTCTTAGCTCATCTCACCGAAGAACTCCCACGATGTACTCGACAAAGTTGACAGATTGTCGCTTGCCGGGTCGGCCAACTGGGCGCCGGCGGTGAACCGTGAGCCTGATCACCGCCGGGGGCCTCGTAGAGCTCTCAGTCACTTGCTATGGCCGTTGTCAACAAGAAAAGATTACATCATAGCGTGGCGCAGAAAGTGCTGCATATTGATCATTATGTTGCGTCTTACGATTGCCAACTTGTGGTACCGATGCTTCTGAATTGGTCTCTGCACTCGCATGCTCTCTAGCTGCTCATAATCACCGAATATTCAAAGCATCAAGCTAATGGCATAATCGCATACTTTGTCGATGCTAGCCCGAGTGACAGAGCAAACACAGACTCTGAGAGTGGCACGTCGACGCTACCACTGCGAAAGGCGACCGCGGGGCCACGAACGGCATCGAGGGGTTCAAATAGCGGGGCCACGAAATGCATCGAGGAGGCCACGAAGGCAGCGGCGGAGCCTTCAAATCCGATTACGGTATCGCGAGGGGCAGCGATGGGGCATCGGAACGGGCGGAAAGCAGCGAGGGGCAATTGCGGGCTTTATCGGGCGGGTCAGGCGGGCGGACCCTGACGGGCGGTTCGAGCGGGCGGGTCACGAATGCGTGAGTCTTGGATAATTCGTCAGGGCGTCTCGGGCGAGAGCGCGATTCCCAAGTAAACTATAAGGAAGTCCAGGACGAAAGCGAAACTCCTGAATGGCGGGAGCGCGGCGCCGTAGTACACTGCAAGGAAGTTCCACGCGAGAGCGCGATTCGTGACTAAATTGTGTGGAGCTTGCAAGCGGGAGCGGACTACATTGTGAGGCGGTATCCGTCGAGAGCCGTCGTTGTTGTTGTTGTTGTTGTTGTTGTTGTTGTTGTTGTAGTTCGGGGGCCGACAGCACAGTTTGGTGACACCACATTTCCCGGGTACCGGATAAAAGCAGGGTGCGAGCCCCAGGAGGGGCACTTCAATTGAAGCATGCAGTGGCTACCGGAAGGGGAATCAACAATGATTATTCTTCAGACGCGAGAGTTCAACAACAACAGCAACAACAGCAACAGCGACACTTACACTAGCAGCAACAGCAGCAGCAGCAACAACACCAACAGACAACAGACAAGAGACAGCAACCAACAAGAATCTGAGCTACGGAGCCCCTGTTCAGCATCGCACCCAGGGACCATGAATGACCGCTCGGCCCCCTCACTGTGACCTCTGGCGCCTCGAGAGGTCAGCTGGGCAGCGCTGGCCAGCCCCGCCCCTCCGCAGGGGGAGGTGCAGTGGGCCCGCCTGGCGCTCGCGGCGGCGTGCGGGCTGTTGCTCGGGGGGCGCGCCGCGGCGCGGCCGTGCCTGCGGGCGAGCCTGGCCCTGTTGGAGGACTGCCCAGAGGAGACGCAGAGGGAGAGGCCCGGGAGTTGCGCAATGGGGGGGCCGATGACCTGGGGGGCGGGCGGAGAAAGGTGCACCTTCTGGACCCCAAAGGGTCCCCGAAGGGGCCCTCAAAGGGGTCCCTTGGGGCCCAAGGTGGGGACAAGTGGGGCCCAAGAGGGGACGAAAGGTACACGCTTCTCAGCCCTCCATGAATTTGAAGCAACGCTGAAGAGGCCGGCCCTGCGCGCGTGGGCACTCGAGAGGGGCCTGCCCGTGGTCCCGAGAGGCCGGTGGGCAGCCGAAGCCGCGGCGGTGAGCCGGCATCCGGCCTCCTCCCCCCCGGGCGCTCCCCTGAGGAGGGCCCCCGGGGCTGCGCGCGGGTCGCCCCCAGAGGTGGCCCCGGCTGACCTCAGCCAAGAAGTCCAGGGCGGTCATGGTGCTCCTCCAGCACCTTTTTTGGCGCGGAGCCTCCCCATGGATGCCCCCGCGGTGTGCCGAAGCCAGCAGCCAGGACCACCACTGGGAGCTGTCTGCGCGCAGCCATCCCTTCCCCCTTCTCCCCAGACCTTAAATGTCGTACTCTGTCAGCACACGGCCCCCGTACCCCTCGAACCCTTCTTTGGGGCACGTTTCTCGTCCCAGATCGCTGCTGGACTGCCCAGGAGCCCCAAAGCGAACCCCCTGGTGCCAAACATTGTGGAAAACGTCCGCTCCGTTTTTTCCAAAACGTTCTTCCCCCCCCTCCCCTTCCACCCCTTTCGTCCCCCCTCCCCTTCCCCCCCCTCCGCTGGTTTATATCCTCCCCTTCCGCCCCCCCCTCCCCAGCGGGGGCGGTCGTCGCTGCCCCGCGCGGGTTCGGCCAGTCTCCGAGGCTGCGAGCAGCCGAAGAGGCGCAGCCAGGCGGCGGCCCAGGCGGTCCGGCTCTTGTGGGCGGACGCCTCCACTGGAGAGCTCGGGGTCGGCTTTGAACGAAGCCAACTTTCGGAGTTCCGCACCCAGACGTGCTCGCGTCGCAAAACAAATCGCGCGGGAGGTTGCTTGCCCGCTTCGGGCGTCTGGGGGCCCAGGACCGTCGGAGAATGGCTCGGGCTGAAGAGCCAGGCCCCAGGAAGGGGTCAGACCTCTGGGGCACCACCTTAGGACGGGGCAATAGGACGAGGATAAGTCCGTTTCAGAGCCTTCCGGAACGCTCTAAGAGCGTTCCGGAACGCTCTGAGAAGGCCGCGGCTCCCGATACGTCCTCCACAGCCGCCAGATCTCAGGAGTTACCCTCGCCCGATGTTGTCGTCGTCCTGGCCTCGTCTCACAAGTCGTGAGACAAGCATGGCGCGTCGGGGGTCTGGCGACGGAGATGTCGGGGCGGCGCGGGGCCCCGCTCACCCCCGCCCCCAGCCCCTGGGGCGGCGCCCCCGCGCTCCCTCCGTGCGCCTGGGGGGCAGCGGGGTCCAGGCCCAGCGCCGGCTCAAGAAGTCCCCGCGGACCTCCGAACGTTTGCAGACGGACCGGGGCATCAGATCGAAGTCGATAGTCGGGGAGGGTGCCCCAGTGTTCTTCGCGGTTGCTGGATGTCCTTGTGCACCCTGGTGAGGGTATCTTTGGATGTTTTTTTCGTTTTGGCCGACGGAGGTTCTCATATTCTTGAAGGATTTTCTTCTGGCCTAGGTCCGACTGTGCTTGCTCTACAAAGCCTGAAGCAGGGCTCGTGGCCGTCTCGGGGGGTGCCAACTGCAGACCCACCCCGATCCATGAGGAACAAGATGCCGTGAGTTTGCTCAGTCGCAGTGGTGGCGCACGCGCACCGCGTCCGTCGCGGGGGCCGCAAGCACAGCTACGCGCATTCTCCAGAGGCCGACGAGTGACCCAAGGACGTGCCCAACCCGCCCAAGACGGGTGGCGGCACCCAGGGGCGGATCCGTGTATGGCGCCACTCGCCCCGATCCCAGGCCCCTCCCCCATTAGCTGCCTTGATACGCCCGTTTTGAATCGCAGTACGTGACGTGCTTAGAACGTCCGTGCCAATATGTTGCGTGTTGGCTCAGCGTATTAGCCCTCGTCTTGGCGAAGTATCGGGCCATGCAGTCGGGCCGCTGAAGAAGGAGCCCTTTTAGGGAGGGGCTCAGTGTTCCTTCATTGTTGTGCAGTCTGGCTTAGGTGCTCATTCGGTTTTCTACGGGAACTCGAAGTTCAACTTATGAAGAATAGGGCCCCGTTCCTTACACAGTGGAGGCCAATGCCAAGAAACAGCCTGCTTGCCTCCAGGGTGCCCTGGGTTTCGTAGGTTTCGATGGTTTTGCGGTGGAAGGTGTGACGTTCCCACATCAAAAACCAATGGACGTCCTGGGGTCTCAGGGTCGGGTTTCTTGCGGAAGGCTTCTTGTGGACTGGCCTCCGCTGTATTTCGGGCTCCTTCTGACATCGCTTCGACTGTACCTACGTTTCCAGTCTGCGTGTGCGGCTGCTGCGCCTAGGGGCACACATTTGCTGCACCCCTCCCGTAGGCAACTGTGCCTAGAAGGACCGAGGCTCCCTGCCAGCGCTGGCAACGGCATGGTGAGGCCCAGCAGCGGGCCGAGAGAGCCTGTAAACGGGGTGTCGTTCTGAAGCTGGTTCGGTCAAAGGGGATCCCCCCCCTAAAATCAAAATCTGTAGCAGTACGCCGCGTGTTGCGTGTGGCGTATCGGGGCAGCCGAGCCTTCCCCCCCCGGGTTTGGCGCACGAGAGAGCGGCGCCGGCTGCACGCCTGGCAGCACCCTCGAGGGGCGGGGCCCCGCTGGGCCTGCGTGGGGTCTTCCCGCCGCTCTCGGCGGCGAGCGTGCGTTTTTTTTTGCTGGGTGTTTTTTTTGAATGCAGTTTTTGTGTATGTTTTATATGCTTTTTATTCCTTACCTAGGCTCTGCCTAGAAGGGTTCTTTTTCTCTTTGCTGAAAGGGGCCGGGCAGTGGAACGCGCCCCGGGCGGTTCCCCCGGCATCCGCCCCGCGGTTCCCCCAGTCCCCTGGGAGCTTTACCTTTACCTTTAGTTTTAAGTTTAGCTTTAGCTTATGCTTAAGCTTAGCTTTAGCTTAGCTTTAGCTTAGCTGTAGCTTAGCTTTAGCTTAGCTTTAGCTTAGCTTTAGCTTAGCTTTAGCTTAGCTTTAGCTTAGCTTTAGCCTCGCTTTAGCTTAGCTCTAGCTTAGCTTTAGCTTAGCTTTAGCTTAGCTTTAGCTTTGCTTCAGCTTAGCTTCAGCTTAGCTTTAGCTTAGCTTTGGCTTAGCTGTACCTTAGCTTCAGTTTAGCTTTAGCTTAACTTTAGCTTAGCTTTAGCTTAGCTTTACTGTTACTACTAATGCTGCTTTCCGGGCTCCAGCTCCTAGGTAGGCCGCACTGGGATACTGTTATTTTCCAGGGGGGAAAGTGAGGAGGAGAAGGCGCTCTCGGCGGCGAGCGAGGGGGGGAAGCGAGGAGGAGGAGGAGGAGGAGGAGGCCTTCTCAGAGGGAGGCGGGGCTTCCCAGAAGCCCTGGCGCCTTCTGATGAGCAGTTTTCGGTGTCCTTGGGGCGGGCTCAGAAAACTTTGCAGAAGGCGAGGGGACTTCCGAGCCTTCTGAGAAGGCCCTCTCCTTCTCCGTTCCCCCCGGGCTCGCCGCCGACACTCCCCTGGACCACCTCGTGGGAGGTTGCATTCTGTATCGGCGCTGGTATTTTCGCGGTCGGTAATCGGCTCCATTTGGGCGAATAACCTGGCCTAATTCGGCATACTCCCGCTTGATCTGGCTGAACACGGCCTGATCCCGGGCTCAATCTGGCCTGGTCCGGTGCAGTGGCACCTTCATCGGGCTGAGTCGCCCGTCGTTGTAACGACATTCTCCCAGGAGTTGCCTCCGACGCCCCAGGGGCGAATGAAAACACAGCGGCATCCATCTGTGCACGCCGTGCAGCACCCAAGAGGCGAGACGTCCTGCTGCTTCCCGTTGCTCCTCCGCTTCGCAGGGCTCCCCGGGGGCGCGGGAGAGCAGCAGCAGGTGGGGCGCCGGGCGCCTCCCCCGTGGGAGGGCGCGGCGAGGCATCACGTGCCGGGCCCTCGGGTGGTGCAGGACAGCGGCGGCAGCTGCGCGCGCAGCAGCATCCTATGAGAGGGCAGCAGCATCTCACGCGGGGTCCGCGTGTTCCACCATGCCTCTGGGTGACAGCTGCGAGCCTGGCAGCGCCAAGGGAGGCGAGGTCTCATCTGGGTCTGCGTGGGAGTCCGCCCCCACGGGGCCCGCCGGGTGCGCAGAGGAGGAGGAAGAGGAGAAGGAGGAGGCTGAGGCAGCCGTCGATGGCAAAAAAAGAGAGCATAATTCGGCAAGAGCGGATTAGAGCGGTTCGATCGATCGACAGGCCGCGTGCGACTTACCGACCGAGATCATGCACAGACACTGGGGCCGTCCCCGAGCACGACTATACACGGTTGCAGCTGGAAACGTGTTCAGCTTGCTGTTGCTGCATTCTGTCACGAGCTGATCCTTGCACAGCAGCTGGAGATTTGCCTCGCACGATCCCCAAGCACTTGAGCAACGGCTGAAGTGCCGCCGCTGTCCCCTACGGTTTCGGTTTCAAATCATGGGAGCCTTATGTATCCTCGCAGTTACGTGTTGAGAATGCACGAGCGTCGATTAGCGTCCGGTAATCTGTGATAAACCCTAATGTAGCGTCGACGAGCGTCGACTCGCGTCGATCCGCATCGATGTAGCGTCGACTAGCGTCGCTTAGAGTCGATTCGCAAGAGCCAGCAAGACGGTATGGAGAGGCTCCCATGATTTGCCACCGAACATGTTGCCTCTGCCTGCTCTCCACTGCACGCCCGTGCGTTCACGCGCATTCTTGAGCCTCATTCGCACGAGCTGGTCTCAACGCTGGAGCTGCTCTGCAGCTGGTGACGTTGGGCTCGCGTTCTTCCTCCACTCCTGCTGCCACTGCCTGCCCTTCTCGCGCGCCTTGACACTGCCGCACGGCCTGCCCCCAGCATTGTATCTGATCGTGCCTGCAGTCTGCCGTGCTGTCGTTGACAAAATCGGGTCCCAGCTTCGCCTCCCACTTCTCGCAGAGCAGTGTCGGAGCCGCCTGCTGTTCGCCCTTCTCGTACGCCCTGGTCCCAGCGCTGCCGCTGATGGCATCGGGCTCTGGCTGCACCTCCCGCCCCTCATTGAGTACGTAGCCTCAGGGCCTGCTGCTGCTCACCCGTTCTCGCACGCGCTGTACTCAGCGCCGTTGGGCTACGAACTCGGGCTCCAGCTTCGCCTCCCGCTTTTCGAAGAGTGGTGTCGGAGTCGCCTGCCGCTGCTCGCCCTTCTCGTACGCCCTGGTCCCCGCACTGTGGCTGATGACCTGTCCCACGAGTTTCGTGCACTCACGAGCTGATCCCTGCGTTGCAGCTGAGGGGTGCTCGCTTTGGCAACTGCTGCTGATGCTGCTTGCCTTCCCGCACTGACAGACCCTTCTGTCACCGCCCGTCTCCTCGTATTGAACCGTGTGTTCCAGTGTCGGGTTCCTCGCATGAGCCGCTCCCCGCATTGTAGCTGATGCTGCTGCCTGCCTTCTCGCCCAGACCCATCTCCGTCTTGTCGCTGGTGGCGCATGGCTTGTTCTTCGTCGCTAGGTTTACCTGGTCGCTGCTGTGGCAGCTGCTGACGTTGGGCTTCGCCTCGTCCGTCACTCCGGTTGGATCGCTCACGAAGTAGGTGTACGTGAGCGGGAGGCGGTCGGCGGTCCCCGCTGGCTGTCCAGAGTTCGCCGTGGAGGGTGAAGGGCACGGAGGTCCTTTGATGGCGGGGCAGAGGAAAGAAGGGCGGAAAGAAAGGCAGAGGAAGAGGGTGCCATCTAACGGCTGCGTACATGCTGGGGCTTCTTCGTCCCCACGCTGTCGCTTATTACGTGGGGCTCCACCTTCCTTCATGGCTCTTTGACAGCAGCGCCACCTCTAAGTTGGCTGCCAAGAACTCGGACCCCCCTGCCCGAGAGCAATGGCTTATGATGATAATGATGATGATGATGATGATGATGATGATGATGAGGAGGAGGAGGAGGAGGAGGAGGAGAAGGAAGTGAAGAAGGAGGAGGAGGAAGAAAGGCAGGAGAGGGAATGGAGGAGTAAGGAGAGGCAGGCGGCGGAGGAGAAGGAGGAGCAGCGACTGGTTCCCAGACATACGACGTTTTTTTTCAACACGCGGTCCCCAGAAGACCCAATTCTTTCCCCAGGACCGGTTCTTCATCCTGAATAGTTTTTGACGGTCCTGGGGCCTGGTGAGGGCCCCTAGGGCCCGACAGTGAAGCAAAACCTCCCGTCCTGTTTTTTTCTACGACGCAAGCATCTCTGGGTTTGTTCAAGTCCAGGACATTGCCACAAGAAGGGATGAGTTCAGTTGAGTCGGCCTCGTTTCGGGCAAGCCTCCAGCCCCCCGCAAATCTCGGGAGGCCTCTGGAGGTCTCTGGAGCTCCCGTGGGCCATCGCAGGCTTCCGGAGGCTTCGACGGTCTCATCATTTTGGCCACTGTTAGCCTGGCGGCAGGGCGTGGCGCTCTCTTCATGCCGCCACTGGGGCCGCAGGCAGAGCTCCCTGTGGGACCGCGAAAGCGTGTGAGGGGTGTGCCTCCGTGGGGTTGCGCTGTCATGCGGGCCCTGCCACTGGGGCCTCGGGGCGTGCCTCGGTTTCAAAAGGAACCATGAGGCGTGTGAGGGGTGGGTCGACCTGGGGCGGCAGCGCCATGCGGGCCCTGCCACTGGCGTGGTAGGTGGAGTATCTGACGGGGCGACCGTGCGCGTGAGGGATGTGAAGGAAATGGGGAGAGGGAAGGGGTGAGGAGGAGGACGAGGAGGAGGAGGAGTAGAAGGAGGAGGAGGAGGAGGAAGAGGGGGAGGAGGAGGAGGAGGAGGAGGAGGGAGAAGGAGGAGGGAGGAGGAGGAGGAGGAGGAGGAGGAGGGAGGAGGAGGAGGAGGAGGAGGAGGAGGAGGAGGAGGAGGAGGAGAGGAGGGGAGGAGGAGGAGGAGGAGGAGGAGGAGGAGGAGGAGGAGGAGGAGGAGAGGAGGAGGAGGAGGAGAGGAGGAGGAGGAGGAGGAGGAGGAGGAGGAGGAGGAGGAGGAGGAGGAGGAGGAGGAGGAGGAGAGGAGGAGGAGGAGGAGGAGGAGGAGGAGGAGGAGGAGGAGGAGGAGGAGGAGGAGGAGGAGGAGGGAGGAGGAGGAGGAGGAGGAGGAGGAGGAGGAGGAGGAGGAGGAGGGGAGGAGGAGGGAGGAGGAGGAGGAGGAGGGAGGAGGGAGGAGGAGGAGGGAGCGGGGAGGAGCGGAGTCGAGGTGGAGCGGGTCGCTTCGGATTCAAAACAAGCACCCAACACAAGGAACGGCTGGGAGACAGTCGATTCCTCCTCGAGCCTCCTCATGCCATTTCAGTATCTGGTTTTGTCTATTTTGTTCGCTTGGCCCCATTGCTCCACTGAAGGGGCAGGGTCCTCCTCGTTGCCGTCAGCGTCCTCCTCCGCCTCTTCCTCCTTCTAGGAACATTTGCTTAGGGTAGCGTGTCGCTCTGCCGGTTCTTGCCCACCACACTTCTGCGCGACACGCTATCCACGTCCCAGTCCCTGAGCGTCAACTTCCCGTGCTATTCCTTGCCTCCCGCCCCGCGGAACGGAGCGACATGCTATCCGCTCGCAGGGCATAGCGTATCGCTGGGGTCGTTGCCGCGATACAGTAAACAAACGTGCCCGACCGTACTTAACGAACTTATGTATTTAGACTCCCTCAGCAAACCTTCGCCTGAAGCACGGCCCATCAGGGATGGAACGTCGTTCGGAGCACACCACAACACATCTAGGAGGTGAGGGATGAGGAGCGGGGGGAGGAGGAGTTTGAGGAGGAGTATGGAAGGAGGAGGATTAGGAGGAGGAGGAGGAGGAGGAGGAGGAGCAGGAGCAGGAGGAGGAAAAGGAGGAGGAGGAGCAGGAGCAGGATGAGGAAAAGGAGGAGGACAAGGAGGAGGAGCAGGAGGAGGAGGAGGGGGATCTGGAGGAAGAGCACGCCCTCCTCCTCCTCCTCCTCCTCCTCCTCTTCCTCCTCCTCCTCCCCCCCTACAACCACCACCACTTCTTCCTTCTCCCCTCCTACTTTCCTCCTCCTCCTCCTCATCCTTCTCTTCCTTCTTCGTTTCCCCGTCCTCCCTCCCTGAGGAGGGCCCTGCAGACGCGTCTCTGGTGGCCCCTCCAGGAGAGCCTCTGGCAACGAAGCACAGCCTGCCCGTCGGGATCGAACAGGCGCGGCGCCTGGGCTTCTCTGCGAGCAGCACGAGCTACGTCCCCAGGGGGCAGAAGAGCATCGAGGCCCTATCTTCCTCCGTCTCCACTAATCCTCCGTCACCTTTGCCCTGCTCCACGCCCTTCGCCTCCTTCTCCTTGACCCCCCCTCCTTCCAATTATCTTCACATGCGTTCCTTCCCCTTCTTGTTGTCCTTATACTTCTCCGTCTCATTGTCCCGCATTATTCGCCCCTCTCTTCCACCTCCTCCCGCCCCCTCTCCCTCCCTCCCTCTCCCTCTCTGCTCCTCTCCTCCTCCGACGGCGACGACGACGAAGACGCGACGAGCAAGGCGACGAAGAAGACGCAGACGACGACAGTGGCAACGACGACGAGCACGACGACGGCGACGACAAAGACGACAGCGACGACGACGACGGCGGCGGCGGCAGCGGCGACGACGACGACGAGCACGACGACCACGACGACGAGAACGATGACGAACACGACTCAAGGGAGGAATGACCACCCAGACCCCCATAATTGGCGTTTACTAAACGGCCCTGGGCGTTTACTAAACAGCCTTGCCCTGTTCGATCCCTTCCTTGGGTGCGTTTACTATACAGCTTCGCTTGTCGGGGTGCCTCTCATGATGATGGAACTTCTGCTCTCTAACGACAAGGCCAGCGCCGTTGACGACGACGGAGACGATCCCGATCGAGAGGTCTTCTTCCATGCCCGAGCAGTTCCGCCCGAGCCCCGGCCGTGCGCCCGCGCCCTGGCGGCCGTGTCCAAGGCCGCGGGGGCACAGCCGAAGCCATGTGGGACCGCCGTTCGCGGATATGTGCACATTTGTATTCTCATGACATGTATGTGTGTATGTATGTATGTATGTATGTATGTATGTATGTATGTATGTATGTATGTATGTATACATATGTATATATATATATATATATATATGTATATATATGTATATATGTATATATGTATATATATATATATATATATATATATATTTGTATGGTCGGTCCCCCCCCCAGCGACCCCCCAGAGCGCCCAAAGCACGAATCCACAGAATCGCTTCGTTGAAGCCCTTCGTTTTTCCACAACTCACCTTTGGTCTGCCATCCAGGCTGACGAACTCATCCGCCCGGCCCATCCGTCACGGGCACCGTGCGCGCAAGCATATCGGTTTCGGCCGAGGCCACGAAACGCTGTGTATTACAGGTTTTTCAGGTTTTTGTGGTCTGGGAATCAACGAAACACTGCTGGCTGTCTTTAGGGCGGGTTTTAGTTGAGGTAGTTGGGCCCCCCCCCGTGGTGATGGTCATGGTGATGGTGATGATGGTGGCTATCGTAGTGATGATGGCGATGCGGATCACCGTAACAGTCATGCAATCTGGTGATGATGGTGATGGTGATAGTGATGATGCAATGATGATCATGATGATGATGGTGATGATGATGATGATGATGTTGATGATGCTGATGGTGGAGTTGATGATGATGCTGACGATCCTTCGACGAACGACAATCGAATTTATCATCATCATCATCATCATCAACGTCCGTAGCACTTGGGTCAAGGCCATGTCCCCCAGCCAGCGCGCCCGCGGCCCCATCGAGCAGCCCTGCGGCCCCATCGACGAGCCCTGCGGCCCCATCGTCGAACGCGGCCCCGACGAGCCCTGCGGCCCCCTCGTCCTCGTCGAGGGCCCCATCGTCGAGCGCGGCCTCCTCGTCCTCGCCGGGGGCCTCATCGAGAGCGGCCCCGTCGAGCCCTGCGGCCTCGTCCTGGTCGAGGGCCTCATCGAGAGCGGCCCCGTCGAGCCGCGGCTGCAACAGCTCTGGCGCCGACGTTGACGGAGCGTCCGACGCCGACGACTCCGACGGAGTTGCCGACGCCGACGGAGTTGCCGACGCCGACGGAGTTGCCGAGGCCGACGGCTCCAAGAGCGGCTCCGACAGCGACTCCAGCAGCGGCTCCGACAGCGGCGCCGACGAGGACCCGGGCTCCAGCGCCGAGTCAGCCGCGGCTGCGAAGGCCGCCCCGAGCAAAGTAGTCGAGAAGGTCGACATTGTTTCCATGACCCTGGAGGAGCACGTCGCCAGTCACAACTACCCAAAGCACGTCACGACGTGCGGCGCTTGCAACCAGTCACCCTGAAGCCTGAAACTTGGATAGGCTGCGCAGGTGGTAGATATGCAATATGTTTGTTTTGCTCGGCGTTCAAGGGCCCTCGTTGCCAATCCACCATTGGGCAAGGCACTGGGAGTCTCGGCCGTCGCCACAACCTCGCGCGGCACGCGCAGGGCGAGGGGCACCAGGCAGCAGAGGCGGCGTGGAAAGTGCGGATTCGAGCGGAAGGCGCACAACGGCAGGTTCGAGTGGAAGGCCCCACAACGGCTGCAACTGCTGCAACAGCCGCGGCGCAGGCGCCCGTCGTCGTCCACGCCGCCGACCAGCGCGTTGGCGGCCGCGCAGCGGTCGCCGCCCGTGCACTCATGGAGACGTCCAGTTCCTTCAGAAGTTTCGATGTCTGGCGGGGCGCGCTCCTCGGGCAGGATCGCGCAGCTTTGGAGTCTTTTCAGCAGCGCCGAAAGGTGGTGGCCACATGGGCTCAGTGCGAGAAGATCGCGTCGCAGAGGATTATCAAAGAGGGTGCTGTTTTTCGTTTGGCTGCGGACGGCCTCGGCCGCACGTACCAGGTCGAGATTGGCACGGTGTTGCGGTCGATCCCAAAGGCTCTGGACTTTCTCCCCGCGCACGGTCTCAAGGCAGGCTGGCTGGGGCAGCTGGGCCCCCGAGGGCCCTGGGTTGCGGGGCGGGTGATCGGGGCGCGGGAGTTCCCGCGGGCCATGGACGGCGACGGCAAGGCTTCCACGCTGGAGGAGTGCGTCCGTCGCGCGTGCCAGACGGCGGGCGGGGAACTTGACGTGGACTTGCACAAGCGCGTGCGAGGGGAGATGCGGGCATGGTGCAGCGATGGGGCTGATATCTGTTCCCCTGCTTGCAACGCGCGCGTTCCCTGGGCTGGCATTCTACGCGCGGGGCGAGTCGCATTCGGCCCAGAAGCTCCTGGCCAACTCCATGAAAGAGGACAGCGAGATCACGATGACCGTCCAGCTGCTGGTCACGGGTAAGAAGCCGCCGAGCCTGGCCAAGTTCCTGACTAACTCCACCGCGTTCCGCAACAAAGTGGGGGCGCAACAGCTGGCAGACGACATTGCTTTCGTCAAAAACTTCGGCTGGCCCCCCCAGCGTTTCAACAGTCGGGCGAGGCTCTCGGCACGGGAGAGCCGGCGTTGGAACGTCATCTCCAATGCGCTCGGAGAGGAGTCCCAGGGGAGTGACCAAGATCGGCGCATGCTCGCCCGATCTTTCCTGGAAGGGCTCGGGGGCGAGAACAGTTCGCGCCTGCTCCTGGGGGCGTTGCTGGCGGACTTGCGCGCGGAGCACTACTCCTGGGTCGCTACCGGAGACAAGAGCAACCCCGACGCTGCAAGCGTTCAAGCTAGGGCCAACGATTTCATCTCAAGGCTGGACACGCTGTTCGTCCAGGGGGCGGTTGTGGGCATGCCCCCCACTTTCGCGGGCAAGGCCCTGGAGTTTTTGCGGCGCACGCCCCGCTACCCGCGCGGCAACGGCGCCCAGGAGGTGGGCCTCGGCGATTGGCGCGCGGAGGGCCCAGCCCGCGATGCCATCAAGGCGGCTCTACGACGGGTGCAGAAGATCGTTGCCAACGCGAAGGGGAACATGAGGCTGTATCGGCCAGGGCACTCATGGTTGCACGCATGCACTGCGTTTCGACTGCCTTCCCCCTTGTCTGCGACAGACGCGGGCGCAACGGAGCACGCGACAGAAGCTGAGGCCTGCCTGAAGCGCATCTGCCGCGAGGCAAACCTTCCCGAGCAGCGGGCGGCCCCCCAGCTGCGGCACATTTTGAGGCGCGCCGAGGAGTATCACCGAGACGGGAGCACCACGCGGCAGGCCTGGGGCCGCGCTGCTGCGCAGCGGCCTGAGCTCGCCATCGGCCGTAGTCTCGTGGAGCTCTTCCTGGTCTGGAAAACGAGCACTGGCAGCGTGGAGCGGCGATTCCGCCATTTCTCTGAGGTGCATTGCCCCGAGAGGGCTCGAATCTTGGACGTCACCGTTGAGGAGTGCACGCCCGTGGACGAAGCGCCCCCCAGCAAGTTGTCGCGCGCGTGGCTGGACCAGCAGGGGCGGGACGAGAGCTCTGCCAGCACGCGCCGGCACAGACAAGTGCTCAAGTTGCATGAGCGCCTCCAGGGGAAGATCGCAACGATGTTGAGGAGGGCCGAGAGGCGCGACAAGGGAACCACCAGAGAGCCTCGGCCAGGGCGTCGGACAGAGGTAGGCTTCGGCCGCAAGAGAGCAGCTGCCGTCGACGCTATGGCGGCCGCTTCCCCGAGCAAGCGCGCTCGCCTTCTCGCGGAGGCCGGCCCCGATCTCACTGCGGTGGCGCAGGAAACGGCCCAAGCGAGCGCGGCAGATCCTGTCCGCCCAGCTGCAACAGTCGCGGCCGCCGTTGCCAAGTGGGAAGCCAAGGTGCGAGAGCGCAATCTCGCAGGGGCGAAGGCCGCCGCCAAGGCCAGGAGCGCGCGGGAGAAGAAAGTCTTGCGCAGTCCAGGGCCGGGACCTGTGGGCCGCGACGCCTAAATGGCCCCTGCGCGCCCCCCTGGCCTCGCGCTGGTTCGTAGGGGGGGGGCGGCAGCGCATCGCAAGGCGCAGCGCCTGCACTTTCAGCTGGTTTACGACCCCGTGGACTTCCTGAGACGCCTGGCCAAGCAGGACAGCCACGCAGCGCGGAGGAAGGGGAACGTTGCGTTGGCTGCCACGTCCGACACAGACTTCGGCATCGCCGCTCAGACTGCAGCGGCGTTCACGGGAGCTTTCTACACGACGCCCGCTGATTATGCACAGCGGGACCTCTCCGGAAGGCATCCAGTACGCCGAGAAGCTTCGGAGCTCTAACACAAGCTACCTTGTCGCTGTAACAGCGGCTCTCGAAGCAGACCTCCCTACACTGCCCCGCATGTTGCGAGCCCTTTTCCGAGGCGCCAAGTGGGCGCGTGATCTATTACCTGGGCCCCAAGAAGCTCTGCAGGTTCTTCAAGAAGCATGCCAAATACATGCCCCGACTGGCGCAGCGGGCTTGCGTGCTGTGCCGCTCAGGAGAAGAGACGGAGGTCAAGGGGGCCTGCAAACATATCTACAACAGTCCGAAGAATTGGATTCTGCGCTTCGACGCGTCCGTTGCAGCACGGTGCCCTGGCAGTAGTTAGGAAGGCTAAGAGAGCGCAAGGAGGTTCATAAAAAATGATCGCATCCGGCTCATAGTCCGTCGTAAGGAGGTTCAGAGACAAAAAAGATGTCGCCTCCGTCTCATTCATAGTTCAGAAAAGAGAAAAGATAAGAAACTACATCAAAACAAGAGCGATAAACACAAAACAAAACAACAAACACACAAAAATAATAATAATAAACAACAAAAGGAAAAAAAAAAAAAAAAAAAAAAAAAAAAAAAAAAAAAAAAAAAAAAAAAAAAAAAAAAAAAAAAAAAAAAAAAAAAAAAAAAAAAAAAAAAACGATCGCCTGCGTCTCAAAGACGCAACATTCAGGATGCCAGCCTCGCTGGCCGCCCCACGAGATGCGACGAGGGAGGCTAGAGGCTGCGCCGCCCTCACGAGGCGCAACAAGACGATTGCTCCAAACTGATTCGGCACTGCGCACCAAAGCGGCCACTTGAGCCAAAGTGGTCTCTTGCCCGTGCCCCCCGCGCCCATCCCTCCCCGTGCCCCCCGCGCCCCTAAGGGGCGCCGCTGCCGTGGGCGGCGCTGCTCGCCGCCGGGGGCCTCAAGGTCGCCAGTTGCCAGGGGCGGAGGCGGGGGGATTGGGGTTCAGAGCGTCGGAGAGGCGAGCAGGGCAAGCCAGGTGTGGGCATGGGGGTCGTCTCTCATTGCGCTTGCCCCAGCTTCGGGCGCGCCGCGCAGCCCACGGTCTTCTCAACGAAGCCGTGGCGGCGACTCCCGCCGACGGCTGCGACGGCGCAACGCAATCTCCCCCTCTGGCCACAGTTGCGGCAGCTGCAACAGCTCCCCGCCGACAGCGCAACAGCTGCAACAGCTCCCCGCCGACAGTGGAACCTGTTGAGCGATCCCGAGTGATCCCGAGTGGAACCTTTCGAACGATCCCGAGTGAAACCTTTTGAGCGACCTCCCTCTCTCTCGCTCGCCTCCGCAGCTGTCTGCTCGACCGCCGGGCCTGCGCGCCCGACTCCCAGGCTGTCGCGCCCCCTCTTCGGCTGCAACAGCGCGGCAGATGGGCGGCCGCGGCAAGGGCGGCGCGGGCAAGGGCCAGGGGCGCAAGGGCAAGGGCAAGGGCGGCCAGGAATACTGGCCTCGCGAGGTCAGGTCAGCCAAATCCAGGGTAGCTGTGGCACTCCCCGCCCCTCTCGCCTCATATATACATATATACAAGGAGGAGGCGGAGGAGTGACACAACAGCCAGCCCAAAATGAGTGGCCGCCGCCTCCTGCCGGCGCCCAACATGGGTGCCAGCTGTCTTTTAGGAGGCCGCTCAGCGCGCCTGGATGGCCCCGTCCAGGGGCAGCGGTTCGGGGGGGAGGAGATGGAGGATGCATGTAAGCTTCTATAGGACTTGGGCCAGGAAGCGCAGGGGGTCCGTTCGCAGAAGCAGGAGGCGTGTCTGGGGTGTGCCGCAATTGAGCTCTTACGTAGCATGTTAGAGATCAAGCTGAGATCTAGCATAGCATGTTATATCACAAAGTGTGATCTAACATCGCATGCTAGATCACAGCTGTGATCTAACATAGCATGTTAGATCACAATTGCGATATAAAATAGCATGTTAGAGTAGAAATGGAGATCTAACATAGCATGTTAGAGTAGAAGTGGAGATCTAGCGTAGTCTGCTAAATCAGAAAGTGAGCTATAACATGGCATATCAGAGCATGTTAGATCGACCTTTGAGCTCTAACATAGCATGTTCGAGCTCCCATATCATGGCACTCTGGGGCACTGTTGTACCACAGCCCCACCCCCAGATTTGGCTAGCCTTCTAGCCTTCAGGTCGGCAACTACCCTGAAGAACTACCGCAAGGGCTTGCGCGAGCAAATCGAGCGAAACCGGATCCTGCTGGGATATGCAGCAGAGGTTGGCGACAGAGAAGCAGTTCTGGAATGTGAGCGCCGTGCGCGCTGGATCGCTTGCAAGATGCGCAGTTTGAACTAACGCGGCCAGATGATCAGGGACAGGGAAGGGGTCTGGGAAAATCAGCCGGGGCCCCACGGAGGCCTCGGTGGCGCAGCAGCGCGGCAGATGAGCGAAGAGGAGCGCACGTGGAACGCCCAAATGATAATGCACGAGGCGGCCCGCCCCCCGCCTCCGCCAAATATCACAGCCCAGAGGCCTCGGCAACATCAACGAGCGCCAGCTCCACCGCCGACGGCGCCAGCTCCGTGGCTCCACCGCCGAGCTCAACCTATGGCTGCAACAGCTGGGCCCTCAGGCAACCCGAACTCCACGGTGCCCGACGACGCCGAGGAGCCCCGCGACGCGGAGCCCGAGGGGGGCGCTCCTCCAGCCGCGCTCGTCGGACCTCGTCCGAGCCGCGCTGGGGCGAGCCGCGCTCGGAGCCGACCTCGCCCGAGCCGCGCTCCTCCAGCGCCGCAGGGGGGGGCGCATGATGAGAGCCCGATGGGCGAGGGCGACGGCGCTATCCCTGAGGAGGAGGGCGAGTTTGCCGAGGAAGACGGCGCGGCATCCAGTCGCTCGGGCCCGCCATCAGACTGGGGCTGCGGCGATATCCAGTACTACGCCTACCAGTACGAGGACATGCGCCAGCAGGCGGGCGGGGGGCGTGATCCTCAGCTCGCCCAGGAGGAAATGCGCGAGCAGGCGGAGGCGCTGGGGAGAGCCTGCCGAGAGTCGGTGGCGCGGACGCAGGCGCGGGCGGCGTCGGCTGGGGCATCGTCGGCTGCAACAGCCCCCGTGGACGTGCTGCGTGATGAGCCTGCGCTCTTGATGCTTGGAGCGGCCTATGGTGCTCCTGTCACGCCACCTATTTCAGGATCACCGTCGGCTGCGCCATCTGCAGATCATCGGGGCTGGCAGGCATACGCGCCGTGGCGAGAGAAGAAGAGGGGCCAGCAGGACTTAGTCCCTGAGGATTACGGCTTCCCCAGGACGAAGCCGAAGACGCCTGGGCCGCCTGACCAATTGCGTGCTCCAGGCCAGGGGCCATCGCCTGGGCCATCGGCGAAACTGAGGCCCCCGTCGATGGGGCCAACGCTGGGTCCAGCCACGGCGGCCCTACCAGCACCGAAAGCGAGGCCCGTGAGCCGACCGCCACTGGCTCCACCCATGGCGGCATCCCATCGGGGCCCTGGCATGATCGCACCAGCACCAGCGCCGAAGCGCCTTCCCCATCGCGCCCCGCCGCCGGAGGCGCCGCCGCCGCCGCCGCGGGGCCCCCGCGGGGCACCGCCGCCGCGAGCGCAGGTTCGGGCAGAGATGGACGTGCATAGCTTGGGTTTCGCCGACCAGGAAGAGCGAGATCGGCAGGAACACGCGCAGGCTGAGCGGAGTCGCAACATTGGGGCATATCGGCGGAGCACGACCGCCTCGGCTGCGAAGGCAGGTCAGCTTGAGGCGGAGGAGGCTGCGCGACGCCAGCGCGACGAGGACTTGGCGGGCCGGGATCAGCTGGCGGCGGCCCGCAGCACTTTCAAGTGGCAATCAGCTGCAACAGCCCTCCAAGACGCACCGGCGCACTTGCGTGGGAAGGACCCCGCGAAATACAAGCGGATCGCCGTGATGCCTGCAGCGCAGGCAGCCCAGCTGCCCCCGAAACCGAATCAGATCCCACCCTTGGTGTTGTCAAGCCCGCATGAGGCGGCGCAGGCGTTGCGCGCGGACTGGGCGAGAGCACCGAACTCGCACAATGACCCCGACGCGCGGGAGAAGGAGATGAGGCTTCGGGACAAGAGGAACGGGATGATAATGGAGCGCCTCGTGGCGGGCGCTCCCGTCTTCAACTCGAGCTCGGGGAACAGCATGTGGCCCCTGGTGCAGTCGGGCGACCGCTGCCTCTTCCACCCGATCCAGGCGATAACAGCGATGGACGGATCCCCCCGCATCATCGAGAAGGACGAGTCCCCCATTGCCGTCGGGGACGTCGTGTTCTGCCGCGCCCAGCCGACTCGCCAGTACTGCGCCCACTTTGTGCGCCACGCAGAGTGGGACAGCTGCCGCCAGGAGAACATGTACTGTATCGGCGGCCTCCAAGTGCGCCACAATTGGAGGCCGTGCAACGGCCACTGCTTTCGTCGTGACATCTTTGGCATCCTGATCAATGTCTACGTCAACATAGGCGGGCGATACCACAGGAGGCCCCACCCGCAGCCTCTGTACAATAAGGTCGCGCCCCTGGTTGCGCAGGACGGGTGGAGCAACGCGGCCGAGAGAATGTGCGAGGCGGAGTCAGACGCAGACATGGAGCCGCCCGTGCCCGTCCACGAGGGTGATACTGAGACTGCCGCCGCATTGGCGGAGCTTCGCAGTGTCACAGGGCCACAGGGCCGCATCCGCAAAGCTTAGACCGCTGTAACCTCGGGCGAGCCCCGCGGACAGCTTGACCAGGCATTGGCTGCAACAGCGACCCCACTCTTTAAGTGTTCAGCCGCCAAGGCCAGCAGGCTGGTGCAGCAAAGACGTCGCCAGCGAGGCCAGCGTGCTAATCTGCTGCCCACTGCGGCACTTTCGTTTTCCACGGCGCCCCGCAGGGGATTTGCTTGGAATGAATGCACTTCGCTGGCCGCGCGCCAGCGCGTTTCGGTCCAAAGCGTGCTCTGCGCGCCTTCAATTCTATGAAGGATGCTTGCATTGACAAGATTGCGCGCCCCGGCGTCACAACAATCGCCTGCAGGCTGTGCTGCTCTCGCAGGAACTCAGGCCACTCTCATCTCGTGGACGACTGCTTCGCGCGCTCTCCAGCTCCCCCCCTTCCTTCCTGGATGCAAGCTCTCCCATCCCCTTATCCTTCTTGCTCCTGCATCCCTTTGCCTCCTGGCTGAAACGGCTGCTCATGGCCCTGGCGTTCATCCCCCCCTGTCCTTGCATCCCCTTCCTCCGCCTGCCCCTGCCCCTGATCACCCTCTTCCTGCCCCTCCTCCGCCCTCTGTCGGAAGGGCAAGCTGGCGTGCGACGGCCGTCGCCAGCCACGGCTCCATCTCTTAATGCCACTTCCTGCTGCTGGTGATCACAGCAATGTCTTTGCGGACCCACGCCCGATCGGCCAGTTCCCCCGCGCTCAGCTCGTCAGTCAGGGGGGAGCTCTTCATTCGCGTCCGCGTTGGTGGCGGCGCCGTCCGAGGGCTCCGAATCCTATTCAGCCTGGGGCAGAATCTAGTCTGACACTTTGAAGTCTTTCGGTCGCGCATTATCGCTGCCTGAACATCGCCAGTCAGTTCCCCGCGTCTTCCTAAGCGCGCCCAGGACGGGTGCCGCGATAAAGGTGCCAATGGGGGCCACGATCACCTCAAGTATTTCCTGGATGCTGGCAGCAGCATTTTTGAAGCATGCTGATCTCATTGGTAAGCATGCAGATCCGTTGGCTGCAACAGCTACAATAAGTTCCCCCTTGGCTGCGGCAGGGGCAATAACTCCCCCCTTCAGGTCCCGCGTCGTTCCCCCGCTCGTTGTCCCACAGGCCCCATCGTTGCCGCGGCTCGCTGCCCCCGCTGCATGGCTGCCCCCCGCGGCTGCCTGCGCGCAAGTCAGTGCTGGTGGGGCGGAGGAAGCTCGCCAAGGCAGCTTGATCGCTCGGGGTGCAACAGGGCCCACCGCGAGCGTGGATGCGGTCTGGGCTGACCGCGACAGACATGCGCCCACCAGCGCTGCCATCGATGCCCCTGCTCTTCCCCACCTGCCCTGCTCTTCCCCCGCCTCCCCGCCGCAGGTCCCCGGCGGCGGGCGGCGCCGCCGCGGGCGCACTGCAGGGGGGGGATAGCGACAGACAGAGGGAAAGTGGCAGAGAGAGAGAGAGAGAGAGAGAGAGAGAGAGAGAGAGGGAGGGAGGGATATATCCACATCACAAAGTGTGATCTAACATGGCATGTTAGATCCCATATGTGATCTAGCATAGCATGTTAGACCGGCAAATCAACTCATGCGCAGCTTTAGGCGGTTTCGGTGTCTTGCCGCCTTTTCTTCTTTTCCCCTTATCGCCCACGGCTTCCTGCCGCTCTCGCTCTGCCCTAATGTCCGCCGCGTCGTCAGGCACAATGGCGACGAACTCGTTTCGCGGAACTGCGGTAGAAACTTGGGGATCATGTCTTTGCCGTCTGCGCAAGTTGAAGAGCTCCTGGAGAGGAAGCCGCGGTAAATGCTTTTGTTGGAAGAAATTGAGCTCGAACAGAGCATGTCAGAGCAAACTTTCTGCTCTAACATAGCATGTTCGGGCAAAACTTGCGCTGGCACTTAGCGCGGCTCAATTTGAGTTCTAACATGGCATGATCGAGCACAAGTTGAAGTCGAGCCTGGCATGTTAGAGCACGACTTGTGATCTAACATATCATGTGATATCACAAATTGTGATCTAACATGCTGTGTCAGATCACATTTTGCTGTCTAGCATCGCATGCTAGATCACAACTTGCGGTTTAACATGGCATGTTAGATCCCACATGTGATCTAACATAGCATGTTCGATCACAAGTTGCGATCTAACATGGTATGTTCGATCGCAAGTTTCGATCTAACATGATGTGTTAGATCAGAAAGTGTGGTCTAACGTGCTATGGTAGATCAGAAATTGAGCTCTAACATAGCATACTAGAGCACATATTTGGCTGTAGAGCACAATTTGTGCTCTAACATGGCATGCTAGAGTGCAACTTGTGATCTAACATGCCATGTTAGATCACAAGTTGTGATCTAACATGGCCTGTTATATCACAATCTGCGTTTCAACATGATATGTTAGATCACAAGCTGAAGTCTAATATACCATGTTAGATCACAACTTGTGGTCTAACAAACCATGTTATATCGCAAGCTGTGGTCTAGCATGGCATGTAAGATCCCACGTGCGATCTATCATAGGACGTTAGATCACAAGTTGCGATCTAACATGGCATGTTAGATCACAAATTGCGATCGAACCTGCGATGTTAGATCAGAAATTGTGATCGAACGTGCTATGGTCGATCAGAAAATGAGCTCTAACCTAGCATACTAGAGCACATATTTGGCTGTAGGGCACACTTTGTGCTCTAACATGGCATGTTAGAGCACAGTTCCTGATCTAACATGCTATGATAGATCACAACTTGTGATCTAACATAGCATGTTCGATCACATATTTGGCTGTAGAGCACAATTTCTGCCCGAACATGGCACGTTCGAGCGAGCACAATGTCTGCTCTAACATAGCATGTTGGATCACAAGTTGTGATCGAACGTATGATGTTAGAGCACGCGTTGTGATCTAACATGGTGTGTTCGATTACAAGTTGTGATCTAACATGCTATGTTAGATAAGAGATTGTGCTCAAACAGATTCTGATCTAACATACCATGTTAGATCACAACTGTGATCTAACATGCGATGTTAGATCACAATTTGTGATCTAGCATGCCATGTTAGATCGCAAGTTGTGATCTAACATGGCATGTTAGATCAGAAACACAAATTTGGCTGTAGAGCACAATTTCTGCTGCAACATGGCATGTTATAGCACAAGTTGTGATCCAACATACCATGTTAGGTCAGAACTTGTGATCTAACATAGCATGCAATAACATAATTTGTGCTCTAACATCGCATGTTAGATCACAACATGTGAACTAACATGATATGTTAGAGCTGAAATCGACGTTCGCGAAAATAGATTTCCTGCGGGCCCGCCCCCGCCGCACCCAAGTGCGCGTGGCGCGCGGAAATCTGAAAAAATGCGTCGCGCTACGCCCCCCCCCCCCTTCCCCCCGTGCGTCCTCGCCGCGCCCCCCCCCCACCCCCCCGAAGCGCCTTTAACCAGCGAGATTCGATTTTCATAGTGCTCAGGCCCCCCCCCCCCCACCACCCCCCCCCCCCGCCCCAAAAAGCGACCTGGACCGGTGAAAATCGATTTTCGCAGGCCCCCCCCCCCCCCCCCCCAAAGCGCCCTTAACCGCCGAACATCGATTTTCGAAGTGCTAAGCCCCCCCCCCTCTTCCCAAAAAAAGCGCCCTTAACCGGCGAAAGTCGATTTTCGCCGGTTAAGCCCCCCCCCCCCCTCCAAAGCGCCTTAACCGCCGAAAATAGGTTTTCGCAGTGCCAAGGGCCCCCATCGAAAAATCAAAAAAAGAAAAGAAAAAAAAAAAAAAAAAAAAAAAAAAAAAAAAAAAAAAAAAAAAAAAAAAAAAAAAAAAAAAAAAAAAAAAAAAAAAACGTTAAGCGGCGAAAGTTGAAAGTTGATTTTCGCAGCGCTAAGACCCCCCCCCCCCCCCGAAAGCGCGTTAAATCGGCGAAGATAGATTTCCGCTGGTTAAGACCCTCCCCAAAATGGAGGGGGGCCTTAACCAATCCGAAATCGATTTCGGACTTGTTAAGACCCCCTCTTTCGCCGGTTAAGGCCCCATTCCCCCCCAAAAAAAAAGCGCCCTTAAACGGCGGAAAATGGTGGTCTTAACCAGTCCGAAATCGATTTCGGATTGGTTAAGATCCCCTCCCATTTGGGGGGGGGGTCTTAACCGGCGGATGCCGATTTCCGGCGGTTCAGGGCGCTTTTGAGGGGGGGGGGCATTTCAACATTGCGAAAATAGATTTTCGCCGGTCAAGTTTTTTTTTTTCTCCCGAGGGGGGGGGCCCGCGGCGCTGCGAAAATCGATTTTCGGCGGTTAAGGGCGCTTTGGAGGGGGCGGGGGGGGGGGGGCTGGACCGGTCAAGGGCGCTTTTTTTGGGGGGGGGGCCTTAGCACTTCGAAGATCGATTTTCGGCGGTTAAGGGCGCTTTGGGGCGGGGGCGGAGGGCTTGCGAAAATCGAGTTCGCCGGTTAAGGGCGCTTTGGAGGGGGGGGGGCTCTGGGCGCGATGAAAATAAATTTTCGCCGATTGAGGGCGCTTTTTTTTGGGGGGGAGGGGGCGCGGCGGGGGCGCTTGGGGGGGGGGGGGGGGGCGTAGCACGACGCATGTTTTCGGATTTCCGCGCGCCACGCGCACTTGGGCGCGGCGGCGGCGGGCCCGCGGGGAATTCATTTTCGCGAAATTCGATGTCAGCTCTAACATAGAATGTTAGTTCACATGTTGTGATCTAACATGCTATGTTAGAGCACAAGTTCTGTTCTTACATGCTATGTTAGATCAGAAGTTCTGATCTAACGTGGTATGTTAGATCACAGCTTGTGCTCTAGCATGCCATGTTAGAGCAGAAAGTGTGCTCTACAGCCAAATGTGTGATCTAAAATGCTATGTTAGATCGCAATTTGTGATCTAACATAGCATGTTAAATCAGAAATTGTGCTCTAACATACCATGTTAGTTCACAACCTGTCATCTAACATAGCATGTTAGATCACAAATTGTGATCTAACATCGCATGTTAGATCACAGTTGTGATCTAACAGGGTACGTTAGATCAGAATTTGTGCTCTAACATGCCATGTTTCAGCAGAAATTGTGCTCTAACATGCCATGTTAGAGCAGCAATTGGGCTCTGCAGCCAAATTTGTGATCTAACATGCGACGATAGATCACAATTTGTGATCTAACATAGCATGTTAGATCACAACTTGTGATCTAACATACCATGTTAGATCATAAATTGTGATCTTGAGTAGCATGTTAGATCGAAACTTGTGATCTAACCTCGCATGTTAGATCACAAGCTGTGATCTAACATGGTATGTTAGATCACAGCTTGCGATCTAACATGCCATGTTCGACCACACCTTGTGATCTAACATGCACTGGTAGATAATTTGGGATCTAACATGGCATTTTAGATCGCACGTTGTGCTCTAACATGGTATGTTAGATCAGAATGTGCGCTCTAACTTGCAATGTTAGAGCAGAAATTGCGCTCTAGAGCCAAATTTGCGCTCTAACTTGCCATGTTAGAGCGCAGTTTCTGATCTACCATAGCATGTTAGATCACAACTTGTGATCTAGCATGCTATGTTAGATCTCAAATGTGATCTAACATGGCATGTTAGATGGCACGTTGTGATCTAACATGGTAGGTTGGATCAGAGTGGGCGCTCTACCGTGCCATGTTAGAGCAGACATTGCGCTCTAGAGCCAAACTTGGGCTCTAACATGTCATGTTAGAGCACAGTTTCAGATCTAACATAGCATGTTAGATCACAACTTGTGATCTAACATACCATGTTAGATCACAACCTGTGGTCCGCATGCCCCATCCTACGCTCCTTCAACCCCCAGCACAACCCCCGAGCTCAACCCCCCAGCACAACCCCCGCGCAGCCTCGCAACCCTTGGCAGCGCCTCTCAGCACAACCCCCAGCACAAACCCCCAAGGACAACCCCCCAGCACAACCCCCCGCGCAGCCTCACAACCCCTAGCACTACCTCCCAGCACAAACCCCCAGCACAACCCCCAAGCACAAACCCCAGCACAGCCCCCCCACGCAGCCTCACAACCCCCAGCACTACCTCTCAGCACAACCCCCAGCAGCCAAAGTTGTACTCTGCATCCAAATTTGTGTTCTAATATCCTATGTTAGATCGCAAGTTGTGATCTAACATGATATGTTAGATCACAAATTTTGATCGAACATGACATGTCAGATCACAACTTGTGATCTAACGTGCTATGTTAGATCACAAATGGGATCGACCATGCCATGTTGGATCGCACTTTGTGGTCTAACCTGGTATGTTAGATCAGACTTTGTGCTCTAACTTGCCATGTTAGAGCAGAAATTGCGCTCTAGAGCCAACTTTGGGCTCCAACATGCCATGTTAGAGCACACTTTCAGATCTAACATAGCATGTTAGATCACAACTTGCGATCTAACATACCATGTTAGATCACAACTTGTGGTCTTCATGCCCCATCCTACTCTCCTTCGACCGCCGATATGGCCCCCAGGTGGCGCCACGAAACCACCCTCTTCGCCGCGCACACACAGACTGATATTCACGATGTCTGGCTCTGGTGCAGAGTCCAATACGCTGTCGGCGTGGATGCGGGGGGGGGGGCACGCAGAACTGCAACTGCTCCCGCGCCTGCTCCCGCCCGCAACAGCCCCCAGTTGCATCGCCAACATCAACGACATCATCAGCCGCAGCCTTTTTAGCGCACATAGAGTGCAGCACTGACGATCGAAGCACACGTAGATTCGCAATCTTGCAGAAAGGTCCGATGTCGTTCACCAGTTATGTGGCGCAGGCGGAATGCGCCCCGCAACTGCAGTTTCCGTTCTTCCACCCCGCGCCATCAGGTTTGGAACTGCACATGCCGTTTCCGCCGAAGCCGTTAATGACGGACGCCCCGCCGAGCGCACCGCCGCTGTTTCCGCCGCGCGCCCCGCCGAGCTCCACCTGCAGCTCGCCGAGCATGGGCTTCCCCAGCGACGAGGAGCTCGACCTACTCGAGCCAGCGCTGAAGAAGCACAATGCGGGGCAGCCCAACGTGCCCAAGCGCGTGCAGTTCCACGCGGTCAAGACCGTCTTCAATCTGATGTACACAGAGTGGCCAGGGAGCAAGCCGTGGAGGCTGACGCCGATAAGGCAACGCGCCGGCGGGGGCGGCATCTTGCACCCGTCGTACTGGGCCAAGCTTGCGCACCACAAGAAGATGAAGACCCACTCCTTCAGGCGCCACGTGGGGCAGGGGTGCAACTGCCAGAAGGACAATGAGGGGAAGGGCGCTGTGTGCTTCTATTGCAGCCGCGTGCACTCGCATGTTATGCGGAAGAACAACCAGCGGGATGAGGATGATATCGGGGTGAAGCTCGACATCACTTCATGCAGTGCCTTGTGCAGCGCTTTGGATTTGCGGGGCATGCCTCCAGCTGCACCGATGCATGCGCGAAAAGTCTTCAAGCCATTCTTTTCGTAGGGGCACTGAGCGAATGCGCCAGGGATGCATGGCGCGCTTTTGAATTTTAAAAAGCAACAAAAAATCATCGCTGCAACAGCGATAGGGAGCCCTTGTACAGCTGCAACAGCATCATCGCACCGCTGCAACAGCTGCACAGCTGCAAAGCAACGTCTAGCCAGAGATCATCGGGCACGGACGTCAACATATCGATGTATCCTGTAAGTCAGTGCGCAACTCGAGACTGCGCATTAGACCGCCGCGGCGTCAACGCTGCCCCCGCGATCCCTACGCGCAGTCGTCGCGCGCGCAAATGACTTGGGCCGAATGGCTTGGGCCTTGTCAGGATTTGTTTGGATTTGTTTGATGTATTCCTGCCGCATTCTTGTGGGTTCCCAGGAGGCCGACAAATTCAAATGTCCTGCCCGCGCTCGTTTGCAAAATTTGATTTGCACCGCGCGCTTTGTCCCGAGTATCCGCAGCGGGGAGGGGCAAGACTACAGGGGGCATGCTGTGAGGAACGATGGTGGTCCCGTGACCAGCAGCTGGTCCGTTATCGTCATCTCGTCGTCCTGTTTCATGGAGTTGGCCAGGAGCTTCTGGGCCGAAGGTGGTGTCTAAGATGGTGGTCCCGCGCTGGAACCAGGTGTTCTCGCGCGCCCTGGCCACCCCGAGGGGGATCTAGCACGGCGGCCCCGTGCTGGAACCCTGAGTATTCACGCGTCGAGGCCGCCCGGAAGCAGGCGCGAAGTGGTCTCAAGATTCCAATGTGCCGCCTCGTCCGCCCCGCTTCCTCCTCGATCGCCAACATCAACGACATCATCAGCCGCAGCCTTTTTAGCGCACATAGAGTGCAGCACTGACGATCGAAGCACACGTAGATTCGCAATCTTGCAGAAAGGTCCGATGTCGTTCACCAGTTATGCGGCGCAGGCGGAATGCGCCCCGCAACTGCAGTTTCCGTTCTTCCACCCCGCGCCATCAGGTTTGGAACTGCACATGCCGTTTCCGCCGAAGCCGTTAATGACGGACGCCCCGCCGAGCGCACCGCCGCTGTTTCCGCCGCGCGCCCCGCCGAGCTCCACCTGCAGCTCGCCGAGCATGGGCTTCCCCAGCGACGAGGAGCTCGACCTACTCGAGCCAGCGCTGAAGAAGCACAATGCGGGGCAGCCCAACGTGCCCAAGCGCGTGCAGTTCCACGCGGTCAAGACCGTCTTCAATCTGATGTACACAGAGTGGCCAGGGAGCAAGCCGTGGAGGCTGACGCCGATAAGGCAACGGCGCCGGCGGGGGCGGCATCTTGCACCCGTCGTACTGGGCCAAGCTTGCGCACCACAAGAAGATGAAGACCCACTCCTTCAGGCGCCACGTGGGGCAGGGGTGCAACTGCCAGAAGGACAATGAGGGGAAGGGCGCTGTGTGCTTCTATTGCAGCCGCGTGCACTCGCATGTTATGCGGAAGAACAACCAGCGGGATGAGGATGATATCGGGGTGAAGCTCGACATCACTTCATGCAGTGCCTTGTGCAGCGCTTTGGATTTGCGGGGCATGCCTCCAGCTGCACCGATGCATGCGCGAAAAGTCTTCAAGCCATTCTTTTCGTAGGGGCACTGAGCGAATGCGCCAGGGATGCATGGCGCGCTTTTGAATTTTAAAAAGCAACAAAAAATCATCGCTGCAACAGCGATAGGGAGCCCTTGTACAGCTGCAACAGCATCATCGCACCGCTGCAACAGCTGCACAGCTGCAAAGCAACGTCTAGCCAGAGATCATCGGGCACGGACGTCAACATATCGATGTATCCTGTAAGTCAGTGCGCAACTCGAGACTGCGCATTAGACCGCCGCGGCGTCAACGCTGCCCCCGCGATCCCTACGCGCAGTCGTCGCGCGCGCAAATGACTTGGGCCGAATGGCTTGGGCCTTGTCAGGATTTGTTTGGATTTGTTTGATGTATTCCTGCCGCATTCTTGTGGGTTCCCAGGAGGCCGACAAATTCAAATGTCCTGCCCGCGCTCGTTTGCAAAATTTGATTTGCACCGCGCGCTTTGTCCCGAGTATCCGCAGCGGGGAGGGGCAAGACTACAGGGGGCATGCTGTGAGGAACGATGGTGGTCCCGTGACCAGCAGCTGGTCCGTTATCGTCATCTCGTCGCCCTGTTTCATGGAGTTGGCCAGGAGCTTCTGGGCCGAAGGTGGTGTCTAAGATGGTGGTCCCGCGCTGGAACCAGGTGTTCTCGCGCGCCCTGGCCATCCCGAGGGGGATCTAGCACGGCGGCCCCGTGCTGGAACCCTGAGTATTCACGCGTCGAGGCCGCCCGGAAGCAGGCGCGAAGTGGTCTCAAGATTCCAATGTGCCGCCTCGTCCGCCCCGCTTCCTCCTCGATCGCCCCCCCTCCTTTTCCATGGCGCTCTCGGCCAGAGCCAGACCTGCAACAGGCGCGCCAGCTGTGACAAGCGGCCAGCAGCTGCGACTGTCCGTCAGCGCGCGATGCAGTCGTCCGAGCAGCCGTTTAGAGAGTTTTGGACCAAAACGATCTGGCCCGCCATCCAGACCGATTACGAGAGGCTCGCGAAAACCATTCCGAAGCGCATCGCCGAGAGAGTGGGGAAGGAGAGGGCTGAAAAGAACAAGAAGGACAAGGATGACAAGGAGAAGCCTGAGGGGAAGACTGCTAGGAGGAAGGAGAATGATCCAATTCAGGAGAAGCTCGCCAGGACCATCGAGGAGGCGAAGGAGAAGGGCGAGAGCAGGAACGCCTACATGAACTTGGCGTGGACAGGGCCGATCGATAACACGATGCTTCAGGATGCGATATCGCTGGGCAAGGTGGAGAACGCGGCTGCGGATATGTTTCTGGAGAACCTGCCGACGAACGCGGCGGCTGAAACAGCGGCCGAGCCTGGGGAGGCGGCCGACGACGTCGATGGCCCCCCGCGGAGCAAGCCGCAGCGGCGGGCCGTGGAGGCCCTAAGCGCGAGCGGTCGGCTGCCTTGGAACATCCCGAAACAGGTTGAGAAAGGTTTCGAGACCCCAATCATGGTCTCCAGCGTGGACCAGTTCATGGCGCCCGAGCTCGGCAAGTTCAAGCGATTGGCCATGGGCGTCGTGGTGAATGCAGCGTGGCTGGCCTTGTATTGGGCGAAAGAAGAAGGCTCAATGGAGGCTGTAACAGCGCTCGAAGAGTTGATTCCTGATTGGCCCTTCGACTTCATCCACATCAAGGGGGGCGCGGCCGAGGAGATCGAGGAAAACAAGTTCAAGTTGGCAGTGAACACGTCGGCCCGCGCCGAGCGCCTGCGTGACTTCTTCGGGCTGGAGAACTCGAACCTCCTCCGCGTCGCGGCCAAGGCGGCGGACATCGTCCGGGCCCATGCGACGGGGGGCGGACAGCCAGCGCCAGAGAAGGTTCACGAGTGGCTGGTGAATATCGTGACGTGGGGCGTCCACCACTGTCCTGGCGTGGGCACAGTGAAGACATGCTGAATTGTGCTGCCCTCGCGAAGTGCCCGGCAGCAATGGCGCTCATGGAGACGGCCGTGGCCCGCTGGGGGCGAGACAATCTGCTGGATTGGCCAACGAAGCCTGGGGCGATCGTTACAAAAACCGACCACCTCTCGCTGGGTTGCGTAGTCGAAGCCTTGTTCACGAGGATGTGGCGGGCGAACAAGAAGGACCCGCACGCCAGCGGATGTGCTCTGAATGACGTAATAAACGAGATCCTCTGGGTGAGCGCCTACGTGTCGGCCTTTCTGCGGCAGCGCCCAGACCTGTTCAAATCTGGCACCAGCTGCAACAGGGAAGGGGGGCAGAGCACGCAGGGGTGTCTCTCCTGGGCCAAAATTGTTCGCACGGCCAGGTCCTACCTCGACAGCCCGCTGCAGTTTTTCCTGCAGGGGCCCGACCTGGATCCAGCCCCTGCCGAGCGAGGCGCTGCGGCTGACGATGAGGCACTTCCTCGACTTAGGCCAGGGCTTATACAAGTCGGAGATCGCAGGCGCTCTCTCGCAACCGAGGAGCGAGCGGCGCAGCCTGGAGAAATTCCACATGGGCCAGCGAGTGGTGAAGCGTTTCTTCGAGCCCTTCCAGATCGCGTACGACAGCCTTTTGGGGGTCTCCAAGCCAGTTCCAGAGGAGAAAAAAAGCCGAGGAGGTGGCTCCCGAGGAGAAGAAGAAAGTCGAGGTCTCTCCGGGCGATGCGACTTCTTTCAGGAAGAAGTGCGAGGAGGCGTGCGCGGCGGAGCTCGAGGGGGCGGGTGGCCATGCTCGTTGCGGAGGGTACAGATGTGGAAATCTACCAACACGTCACGCAGACTCGTTTTTACAAGAACCTCACGGACGCTGCAACAGTGATGGGTTTCTACGACGTCAAGAATGCGAGGTTGCGCAGCGTCTTCGAGGGGCAAGGGCTCACCCGCCGAGAGCCTGCGCTGGAGGAGGCAGACTTTGAACGCTACCTCAAGTCCCTATCTCCGCCCATGGTCCATGGACGGGACGCGTTGTGGGTGCTCACGGGCCGCGCGCAGTCAAACCTCCCCAAGATCAAGAAGATCCTTAGTAAGAACGGCTACAACCTCCTGCAATTCCACCTTTGCTACAACCTCAAGCAGACGCAGCAGTGCGGGCATTTCAGGGGGCAGAGAGGCGTCGCGAATTCCCGCAGCCACGAGGTGATGTTGCTCGCCTACAAGGGTAAGATCCCGAAGCGCCTTCCCAAGGTCAGGGGGCACGTGGACGGAGGCAGCACCGTCTGGTGCGAAGTGGTGAAGAATGTGCCCGTCCTCCCCCAGAAGAGCCACGCCCTCGTGTCCAAACAGGTCCGTCAGACGAGCTTGCAGTCGATGGTCGGCACGTGCATCACCGAGGTGGAGGCCCAGGAGCGCCAGAAAGACGGGCTGCTGGAACCCCCGCCGAACGACGACGAGGATGCCCCTGATGCTGCAACAGCGGATGCTGCAACAGCTGGGACGCCCGAGAAGCAACTCGTGAACGCGGCCGTGAAGAAGCGGAAGCTCTACCGCCAGCCCACGGGCACTGAGGTGCCGTGGTTCCCCCACGACAACGCCGCCGAGTTCCTCATGGAGCTGCGTCACGAGGCGGTGGGGCCCCGGCGGGTGCACTTCGGGGCGCCTGCGGGCGGAGCGGACATGCGCGGTTGCATTGAGAAGGGCGCCAGCGTCTTGGCGTCGCGCTGCGACGATCACCATCGAGCGAATTTGATGCCGTTTCTCACGGAGCGTGCTGTCGAGGCCATGCTCAGCAGCAATACAATGGTCTTCGTTAACGAGGCCCTGCTGCAGCGCTCTGCGCAGTTGCGCTTGACGAAGGAGGACGCGTCGAAGGAGGAACAGAAGGAGGAGAAGAAGGAAGACAAGAAGGAAAATAAGGAACAGCCGGAGGATAATAATAAGGGTACGAGGGCGGCGGACAAGAAGAAGAAGCCGAAGAAGAAGGCCGATGACGCCTCGTCCTCGCCCGCGAACTCCGACTCCACCTCCGACGACGACGCGCCGAAGAAGAAGAAGCCCAAGACGGAGAAGGACTGGGTGCGTGCTGAGGCAGCGCCCAACAGCTCTCACGAAGAGCTCGGGCAGGAGCCGAGTCCCGCCTCTGCCGTCCGATCGGACACTCCGAACCCTCGGCTCCAAGAAGACCGCAGGATATCCAACAAGGCTGACACGGGGCTCCCAAGAGCGAACGGCGACGCAAACAAGCTGATACGACCAAGGCTCCCAGCAGAGAGCGGTGACGTAACGAGTTCCTGGCGCCAAGGCCCAGCCAAGGCTCAGGAACGGGCCTCGTATCCACGCGTTGAAGTCATGATCTGCGACCACCCGGTGCAAATCGTCTTCCTCAGGGTCGGAAGCTAGCTTCTGCGTGAAATCTGCCACGGCTACCCTGCAGTGAGGGCGCAATTTCATCTTGTCCGCTGAGCCGGACATGGCGCGGATGTCCTGAATGCCGATGTTCAGATTGTCAGCAATGCTGTCCAAATTGAAACCGTTGGCATATGCCTGCTATTGGGGTGCATCCTGCCGTTGGCGTCCACTCGGCAATTTCCCTCGTCGAATAATCGGGCAGACCTGGCGGCGAGAAACGCCGAGGCTGTTGCTCACCGCGACCCGCCAAGGCCCTTGCATCCCCACGCCGCAGTCCCCAGCTAGGGTCGAGCCAGGAGGGGGTGGCGAAGGGCAGGCTCGGGCGAGGGAGAGGGGGCCGGTGATTCCGCAACCCGATGGGCGGGCGCAGGGGGAGGAGGACGGCGGAAGGGACCGCGGCAGTTTTTGTTCAGGGCCGCTGCAGCAGCCATCGTAGCACTTCGGGGCGTCTGCCCTGACAGCGCCTCGGCGGCGATGCAGCCAACGAACAGCGGTCGCGACAGGAACGCGGTGAAGTACTCGGCGTGGCACTTTTACATGCGTGGCACGAACAGCGCACAGAACAGCGATGTCGTCAAGAAATTGAGGGAGACCTGCAGCGAGTCCATGGCCAAGAAGCCAGGATCATCAAAGCAACCTCTGCAGATGGAGAAGTTCACGAAGACCAAAGTGCAGATTTCGTGGCCCGCGCCATGCGTTTTCGACAACGCCGTGCGGATCTTAAAGAGGGCACTGGGCGCCAACTGGAGGGATTTCGTAACCGACCCCGCGGGGGCGGCGGGGGGCCAGGCGCGAGCTGCAACAGCCGGGGGAGCAGCCGAGGGGGAATCCCTTGAAGCGGCGTTGGGGGAAGCGCTGGGGACCGAGGAGGCGCCAGCCAGCGAGCTTTGCCGAGCCAGCGAACACGCAGGTCTTTCTGCGCCATCGGCAGCTCCCGCGCTAAGGGCGTCTTGCTCGGGAGCGAAAGGCTCTCCTGGTGCAGGTGACTGTCGCAGCTCGCAGGCCCCTCTGCTGTCGCTGAGGCTCGAAGCGATCACAAGTGTGTACAACGCCAAGGATCCGCGCAAGCACGAGGACCCGCGACGTTCGCTCGAGGTGGACTGGGGGGCGGAGCTCGGCCAGGGCACTTATGGCAAGGTCTATTTGGGCACGAAGCCCTGCCCAGGGTTAGGCGATGACGTCGTGGAGCTCTTTGCCATAAAGCTCCTGTGCGACTCGAAGGAAGATCAGGCGCAGGGGTTCAATTCGGATGCCACGGGTGCGGCTGAAGAGGAGGTCAGGCGCCACGTTGCGCTGGGCTGGCACCCGAACGTCGTTCGGTTACTCGACGTGGGCCTTCTCAAGAAGTTGTTTAAGCCTAGCCCTCCATCGGGAGAGCTGCAACAGTTGTCAGCCGCCGCTAGCACTGGAGCAGCGCAGAGGAGGTGGACATGGGAAGCGCACATCGGCCTCGTGTTCAACCTGCGCGAGACTGACGTGCGCCAGTTCGTCCAGAAGTCCACCTTGACGCAGACCAGAATCCGCCGCGTCCTGAACAGCGTGATCGCTGGGCTTGGCTTCCTCCACGACAAAGGCTGTGTCCATTGCGACCTCAAGCTCGCCAACATCCTGATGCGAGGATCGATGTGCATGCGCGGCTGCTTCGAGAAAGAGGCGTTGACAAAGCGGCAGATTGGCGAATGGGACCCCGTCAATCCTGCCATCCAGAGCAGGCTGGAGTTCCAGTGCCAGATCCCGAGGTGCTTCGAGGTGCTCGGATCGATCACAAAGCATGTTAGAGCACAATATGAGCTCTTACATAGCATGTTAGAGCAGAAATTCAGCTTTAACATAGCATGTTAGAGCACAACTTGTGAAATAACATAGCTTGTTATATCACACGTGCGATCTATCATAGCAGCTTCGATCACAAAGTGTGATCTAACATGGCATGCTATATCACATTTGTGATTTTACATAGCATGTTAGATCACAACGTGTGATCTAACATGGCATGATAGATCACATTTGTGATCTAACATCGCATGTTAGATCACAACGTGTGATCTAACATGGCCTACTAGATCATCTGTGCTCTTACATATCATGTTACATCACAAATTGTGATCTTACTTAGCATGTTCGATCACATTTGTGGTCTAACATAGCTATACGGAGCATGTTTGATCAGAACTTGAGCTCTATCATAGCATGTTAGAACTCACATCTCAGTTCTACTCAGGGCGGCGTCTACCCTTCCCCCATGAGGCCGTCGTCCTGTCGCAACTCTCTTCCCCCCCCCCTGGAGGTCGCCGTCGCTCCCCTCTCCTCCGTCCGCCTCTCTCCGCAGGTGGTGCTCGGCGATCTCGGCTGCGTGGCGCCGACGGACCCCCGCCGCAGGTTGGTGAAGAAGCTGCGCCCCAGCGACAGCAACGCCGACGTCGGTGCAACCGCGCCCCAGCACAGGCCGCCAGATGTCTTCTTGGAGAACCTGCGCTTCCAGGAAGACTTGGACATGTGGCTCCTCGGGTGCGCGGCCGCGGAGTTGCACTCGCGCCGGCCGTTGATCTGCGTGTCAGCTGAAGAAGGCCCGCGTGAGCGGCGAAAGGAGGTCACTGGAAAAGATTTCATCGATGCCATCAGGAAGGGCGCGGGGCTGCCCGGCCAGGAGGCAGCGGGAGACTTCCACTCAGCATCGAAGGGGGTCCCACTCAGCAGCAATGCGCCTGGCGTCGAGACCGCAAACTCGTTTCTGGATTCCTTCCCTTTCTTTGAGAGATGGTTCGGTCAGAAGGGCGCGGCCTGGATAGCGGCTGAAACAGCGAAAGAGAAGAGCGCCCCGAAACGCTACGAAGGCCCCCATGCATCGGCAGGCTCCCAAGGCAGCCCCGCAGGCCTCATGTCCATCATCAAGGGATGTTTGAAGGGGCAGCCAGGCCGCAGACTGACCCTCAGACAGGCAAGGCTGTCTGGCTTCATGCAGCCGCCTGGCAAGCTGCAGATCACCGTGAACATGGAGCGGGGCAAGAACGGCACCGGAACGATAGCGGAGACAGACCTCGACCCAGATTTGCTGCATTTTTTGCGAAACGACCCTGGCTGGGACGGCCTGGCCAAGGAGCGCGTGGACTCGGGGGCAACCCGCTTCCGATGCGTTCGAGGGAATGAGGCGAAAAAGGGACTAAATACCGAGATCCCAGGCATCGTGGACGAGAAGAACCCCCCGAAGTGCCGCAGCCTGAACAGGGGCAAGATGTTGCAGATGATCCCGTCCGAGCGTTTCGCCGCTTTCGTGCGAGCGCTGAAGAAAAAGTGGCGCCCTTGGCTGCAACAGCTGGGAAACCAAATGTGCCTGGCGGTTGCCCGCGACAACATGCCAGAAGACCTCGTCAAGCTGAACGGGAAGCCCATCGTGGAAGAGGACTTCACCGACAACGCTTTCGCGCACGCGTCGATCCAGCTCATGGAACCAGGCGCGCGGGGCGATGGATGGCACGCAGACGGTGGCTGTTCGCTGCTGCGTGCGGCCGTCACCCTGTGGGGGACACGCGCCGTGCAAGTGGGGAATGAAGACAAGCAACAATTCAGCCACGAGCAAAAGCCCAGGCCCTTCCACGTGGGAGCCCTCGCCGCCCTGCATCACAATGTGCACCGCGACGAGCGCGGCGATCGCACATTCTCCAACGAGCACCTCAAGCAGCAGCCCGAAGGAAAGCGCGACCTGCTGATCGCCGCGATGATCCGCTCCGACGTGTTTCGGGAGATCAGGGCGCGGAGGATCGACGCCACGCCTGGCCCTGTCGAGTTCTTCAACGTCGTGAACCACGTTGTGGCCGAGCACTTGGCCAATGTCCCCGCGGCGCTCCCTGACCTCGCGGACGTGCTCGACGAAGTGAGGCTGACCAGCGCGCCGCAGGACATCGCGTCAACGCCCATAAGTGGCCGCAGGACAGCCGCCCCAACGCCCCGCAGTGCCGCGTCCGACTAGCCACCGCGGGCGGCGAGAGAGATGCTCTTGACCGCCCCCCCCCGTCTGCTTCTGCCTCGTCGACTCTTTCATCATCATCGCCATCATCCTAAGGATCATCATCATCATCGCCATCATCATCCCTATGATCGTCATCATGAGGGTCCTCATCATGAGGGCCATCCCCATCATCATCATGATCCCCATTATCAGGACCAGTCAGGGCGATGATGAGGATCATGATGATGATGATGGTGATGGTGATGGTGATGATGATGATGGTGGTGATGATGATGATGGGAATGATGACGATGACGACGCTGGAAAAAAACGAGTGAGTCAGTTGAGCTCCAAAAGCCCGCCCTAAAGACAGCCAGACTGTGCATTGCATGTGTTTTTGGTTTTTCCGCTTTCTGGAGCTGGAATGCTCGCTGCGGCCTCGCCCCACCGCACCCCCCCCCCTTGTTTGTCGGCACATGAAAACCAGAAAGTCCAAACAAAAACTGTCATACACAGCGTTTCGTGGCCTCCGAGCAAGAAAACACCGTGTATGACAGGTTTTGTTGTTTTTTTCTGGTCTCGGAATCAACGAAACATTGTGTATGACAAGTTGTTGTTTGGTTTTTCTTGTTTCTGGAGCTGGAATGCTCGCCGCGGCCTCACCCCACCGCGCGGTTTAGTTTTTTCTTTGGTCGGGGTCAGTTTTCCTTTGGTCGGGTTTAGTTTTTCCTTTAGTCGGGTTCAGTTTTTCTTTGGTCGGGTCTAGTTTTTTCCTCGGTCGGGTTTAGTTTCCCTTGGTCGGGTTTAGTTTGTTCCTGGTCGGTTTTAGTTTTTTCCTTGGTCGGGTCTAGTTTGTCCCATGGTCGGGTTCAGTTGTTCCCTTGTCGGGAAAAACTACACGCAGGCCCGCGGGGCCAGAGGCGGCCTGAGCCAGATCCACCACTCCCCTACTTTCCTACCTCCCTCTCCATCCATCTCTCTGTCGCGCTCGCCAACCCCCGCGCCCGCTTCCTCGTTCGGGCAGCCGCGGGGCCCAAACATCAGCGGGGTCAGCGAGCCCCGCTTCGCCGCCGCCAAGGGGAACCTGGGGGGCGAAGCCGCTGCGGGCGCGACGTTCCCACCCCTCGTTCCTCGCAGGCCCCCTGCCCGCCCGGGCCCCAGGGAGTAGGTTTGCTCCGAGTGCGGGGCGGCCTGCGCGGGAAGGAACGTCGCGCGGCCGCGTCTGCGTCGCCCCCCGTTTCCCTCGCGCCCACCGCGAGCTGCCTCTGGCGCGCCCGAGATGGCGACGTCCGAGAGCCCTCGGATGATTCGCAAGAAGCGGGCCGCCACCGACGATAGCAGCGGGTCCTCGCCGCCGACGATAGCAGGCCACCTGGGCGCGATTCAACTGGCGAAGGTCCGATCCCCGGCGCCCCCGGCGAACGCGGCTCCGCGATTGGAGCCAGCCTCCCCGGCAACCTCCAACTGTTCCGACGCCGCCGCGTCTCAGTTGAAGGGCGGCCCGCCGTTGCACGAGACTCAGGGCGACGACGACTCCATGGGCCTCTCGGACATGTCGCCGTTCACGTCGGGCGAGGGCGAGGGGGGGGGGTCGCTCAATCTGGCTGCCCAAAGTCCAATCGGCTTTTGCTGCCCAGCCAGCCGGCCTCGCGCTTGCCCCCCCCCCCCCCCGCCACGCCGAGAGCGCGGGGGCGCGAGGGGGGGGGGGGGGGGGGGCGGCGGCGGACTGGCGCGCCGTCGCCGTTCCGCCCTGGGCAGGCAGCAGCCAGATTGATCGTCGAGCCTCGCCCGCCCTCCGCTCCGCTGCCGAGGATGGGCGGAAGGCCCCAAGTTCTTTCAGCAGCCTCTCTATGCAGAGCCCAAGCAGGCCACCCTGGGCACTCTTCCAAAGAGAGAGAAGGGCGGTGACAGATAGGTGACAGGAGGGGGGCAACAGCAGTAGAAGGGGGAAGATGTGGGAGAGGAAGGGGGGGGCGGCGGAGGAAGATGGAGGGGTCGAAGGAAGGGGGGGGTAGAAGAGGGGGGCGCCGACGGCGCCGACTGCCGACAGGGCGGGCGCGGCGAGGAGGAGGGGGGGGAGGAGGAGGAGGGGCAGGCGGGGGGAGGAGGAGCGGGGGGCGAGGAGGAGATGGAGGTGGAGGAGGAGGAAGGGAAGACGGAGTCGAGGACGAGCAAAAAGAAAGGGGGGTAGCACCCAAGGCTGACCATCGCCGCCAAGGTCGAGTTGGCGCCCAAGGCCCAGGCGATTGCGACTCGGACCTCGGCGCCAGAGGTCTTCAACCCAGACTCAGCCTCGCCCCCGAGGCAGGTCGCCAGGTCGAGGGCGAGGGCCCCCCCGCCATGGGCGAAGCGGGCGCAGGCACTGCCTCTGGCGCGCCCCGCCGCGGCGAGCGCGCCCCATCGCGAAGTGGCCTCAGGGGGCGGCCTGAGGCGGCCGAAGGGCGCCCGCCAACTGACCGCCTCAGGAAGCGGCCTCAGGAAGCGGCCAGAATGCACTGCCTCTGGCGCGCCCCGACAATTCACCGCCCTCAGGAAGCGGGCAGAATAAGAGCAACCCTTGGGAAGACGTTCGCGCGGAGATGGTTGCCCGAGACGCTGCCTCTGGCGTGGCCGAGTCGCTGCCTCTGGCGTGCCCGCGACGCTGCCTCTGGCGCGCCTTCTGTGGCCAAGGTGGCGTCGCGGCAGCCGGCGCCGCGACGCATGCGAGCGGAACAACTAGTCGTCGTCGTCACCGCCATCGTAGTCGCCACCATGACCACCGACATCATTAGCGCAATCAGCGACGCCATGACCGCCGACATCATGACCACCGTCATCATGACCACCGTCATCCTTTGGTCGGGTCTAGTTTCCCCTTGGTCGGGCCTAGTTGTTCCTTTGGTCGGGTTTAGTTTTTTGTTCTGGTCGGGTCTAGTTGTTCCTTGGTCGGGTCTAGTTTTCCTTTGGTCGGGTTTAGTTGTTTCCTTTGGTCGGGTCTAGTTTTTCTCTTGATCGGGTTTAATTTTTCTTTGGTCGGGTCTAGTTTTCCCCTGGTCGGGTCGAGTTGCCCCTTTGGTCGGGTGTGTTTTTTTTTCTTCTGCGGTCGGGTCTAGTATTTCCCTGGTCGGGTTTAGTTTTCCATTGGTCGGGTCTAGTTTTTTCTTTTGGTCGGGTTCAGTTTTTCCATGAACGGGTTTAGTTTTCCTTTGGTCGGGTCTAGTTGTCCCTTGGTCGGGTCTAGTTGTTTCCTTTGGTCGGGTCCAGTTGTTCTTTAGTCGGGTCTAGGTTTCCCTTGTTCGTCTAGTGTTTCTCTGTCCGGATTTAGTTTTTTCCCTGGTCGGGTCTAGTTTTCCTCTGGTCGGGTTTAGTTTTTCCTTTGGTCGGGTTTAGTTTGTTCTCTGGTCGGGTCTAGTTGTTCCCTGGTCGGGGTCAGTTTTCCTCTGGTCGGGTTTAGTTTTTTCCTTTGGTCGGGGTTAGTTTTCCGTTGGTCGGGTCTAGGTTCTCTTCTGGTCGGGTCCAGTTTTTCTTTGGTCGGGTCTAGTTGCCCCTTGGTCGGTTCTAGTTTTTCCTTTGGACGGGTCTAGTGTTTCTTTCGTCGGGTTTAGTTTTTCTTCGGTCGCGTTTAATGCTCCTTTGGTCGGGTCTAGTTTTTCCTTTGGTTGGGATTAGTTTCCCCTTGGTCGCGTTTAGTTGTCCCCTGGGCGGGTTTACTTTTTCCTTGGTCGGGTTTAGTTGCCTCCTGGTCGGGTTGAGCCCCCCCCCCCCCCCCCCGTGGTCGGGTTTAGTTGTTCTTGTTTGGGTTTAGTTTTCGTTTGTGCTGTTTAGTTTCCCTTTGGTCGGGTTTGGGATTTTCCTTGGTCGGGTTTAGTTTTTTTCTTCTGGTCGGGTTTAGTTTTCCCTTGGTCGGGTTTAGTTTTTTTCTTTTGCCTGGTTCAGCTTTTGCGTGGTAGGGTTTAGTTGTTGCGTGGTCGTCTTTATTATATACATATATGTATATATCCTTCTTCTTCCCGGTCGGGTTCAGCTTTTCCCTTGTCGGCTTTAGTTTTTCTATTAGTCGAGTTAGTTTTCTTTGGGTCGGGTTTAGTTTTTCCTTGCTCGGGTTTAGTTTTCTTTTCGTCGGATTTAGTTTTCTCATGGTCGTGTTTATTTTGTTTCTCGTGGTAGGATTTAGTTTTCCTTTTTATCGTGTGTTCGTCTTCTCTGGTCGCGTCTGAATAATTCGTGATCATATGTAGTTGTTTTCTGCTCGCGTTTAGTTTTCTCGCGGTCTTATTTAGCTTTTTCATGGTCGTGTTTTAGTTTTCATTTTGTCGAGGCCGCCGTTGCCCCGGGGTCTCGTGTAGCTTTTTTTCGTGGTCGCGTTTAGTTTTCACCTGGTCGAGCCCGCCGTTGCTCCACAGCTTTTTTTTTGCGCAAGCGAAGTGGCAGGCATCTGGGGCGCGCCGCGATCGGGGGCGCGGCGCTGGGCGATGCGCACGCCACTTTACTTTCGATTCGGGGGGTGTCTCAAGAAGAAGTCGGCAGCAGCGAGCGTGGGGCAGTCGTTGCGGTCGCGGAGACGTGGCGGACGAACCCGCAGCGGAGCGTCCTGTGCCAAAAAGAAATCTCTGCCTCTGGCGAGGGTGGCGCTGCCTCTGGCGCATCGTGGAAAAGGGGCAGCAGCGTCGCTTCCTCTGGCGCGTCGCGCAGAGGGGCGGGGAAAGCGCTGGGCGGCTCGGCCCCGCGAGGGCGTCGCGCGGATTGTGGCCGAGGCGAGAAAGAGTGGGGGAAAGGCTCCTGCCGGCAAAATCTGGGCGAAGCTTGGCTCTCGGTCCGCGGACTTCTCGCGCCCGCCCTCAGGGGCCCATTCCGGCGCGGAGCACTTCGCCAAGCATTCTCTTTGCACGAAGGCGTTCTGTATCAGATGCGATTTTCACCGACGTCGCAACCGCAAGACGTGCACGGCGCTATCTCTCTTGCCAAATGGTTCGCCGTGGCTGGCAGCAGGTGGGCATCGCGGCCAGCGGGGTTTGGGCTGCCGAGTCTGCGCGAAGGCTGCGGCCGCAGGGCGCGCAAGCTCTGACGGAAGGTTCTCCAAGTTTGCTTCATTCCGGGTGCGCCCTTTGGCGGGCTTCCACGCCAGATTCCAAGTGGAACAGCATCAGAGGCCAGCAGCGCATCGACGCGCGGCGGGAGAGAAGCAGGTTCAGAGATTTTGCGCAGAATTCTTGCCCAAGCCACTGCCTCTGGCGTGCGCAGACTCTTCATCATCGGAAAAAAACGGGGGAAGTGGCGGCGGGAGACGCTGCGCTTCTGCGTGGAAATGTGCCATCGGCCGCGGAATGGAGGGGTGCGTGGGCGATGCTCTCTGAGACGTCTTCTCTTCGCATGTGCGCTCGCGCGCGGCGGAAGCAGTTCTCCGTGGGCGATCCGACGGAGGAGAGAATTCGGAAGCGCAGGCGCAAGCAGCTCTGCGTGATGGCGGAGGTACTCCACGTCGAAACCCGCGAGGTGCTTCGTAACGCCACGTCGGTGTCTTTATCCCTGGGCGAGTCGAAGTACCGCAAGGTTGATAGATATCGCGCTGACGCGCCTGCCCCTGGCGGCGGCGCCAGGGCTTCAGGCTATTGCCGCTCTGGCGTGCTCGGCGTCCTCGATTGCAGGAAGAGCGGCGCAGCGGAGTTCGAGGAGGACCGCGCCGCGACGGCCGCGAAGCAGCTCGGCCGTTTCCTCGCGAAGTTCTGCACGCCACTGGGGCGCGGCCGAAGAAAAAACACTGCCTCTGGCGTGCGATGAATCGCTCAAGTCGCATGTCCTGGAGACCGCCACCAGTATTGCAGCAGATGGCGCCGCGAAGGAGCGGCGAGCAGTGTTTCTCGCTGCTCGGGAACTCTTCCCAAACCTCCTGATAGTGATACGAGGCCCTGCGCATGCCTTGCGTCTCTCGAGCTAACCCTTGCATTGCGACGACGTGTTTGGCGAGGTGCGGCGCGAGCTGTTCGATGACCGACGCGCCCTGGCGCCAGACGTAATGAACAGCGACAAGTGGCACAACCTATTCGTGGCCATTCAAGAGGACAACATCCTGCCTCTGGCGGAAGCTGGTCTTGGTCGCAAGCCCTTGGAAGCTGTTGTGCGGAATCTATTGTTCGCCAAGCAGCGGTCCGATTCCACGGCGGGGCCAGTCGGGGAGATTGCGCACATGTTGTTGCCCGTGGCGACTTTGCTTGCTTACATCGCGTCTGACAAACGTCACGACAGCGAGCAGCGTGAGCGAGCCGCGACTTAGCTGAACAAAGCTTGACACTAAGTTTTGCGTGGCTGTCGGCGTGTCCGCGGATTGGGGCATTATTTGCAATTGGTTTTTGCGCTTATTCGATGTTGCCAACCACGACATCGCGGCATCGCGTCTGCAGATCGATTGCATGGTGGAGACGCTTGGCGCTGTCTTCAAGGAAGGTCGTGTGTTTCAAAGCATCAGGCTGGCTGCCCCTGGCGCCGCCGCCGCCGCCATGCAGGCTGCCGCTGGCGCCGCCGCCGCGAGCGCCGAACCGCTGCCATGCGTGGGTGCGCACGGCGAGGCGCCCGGCTTCATCGCGACCACCGTGATGTCAAATCTTCGGCGCAAGTATATTTTTCTTGGCTGGTGGTGATCCAGCGTTGCACTGGGGTGAGCCTCGTGACGCGCACAAGGAAGAGTTGCTCGAGAGAGCGCAAAATGCTGCGATTTTGACGAAAGATCGGCTTCTTGCTGATTTTCCTCCAAATGACCTCCGCTCGGCATTGCCCATGTTCGATCGCCGCCTCGTTCGGGAAGGATTCGGGGATCTGCCTTGTCTGAAGACGCGCAAGTCCATTCTCCGAGGCGTGAGGCAGGTAGCCGCGGCGCTCGGTTGCGACGAGGTGGCGGCCGCGCAGCAGTATCAGGACGCCATCCCATTCATGCTGCAGCAATTCTTTGCAGGCAAGCCGCTATCGGATATAACCAACCAGGAAGCGAGGGCGCGTTTGCTGGACGACGCCTTCTGGCGCGCTGCGTGTCCGAAGCGTTTGGTCGGTGGTTCTCGCGCCCTCCGCGAGCTCATCCGGTTTTATATTTCCCTTGAGGACGGCGAGCGCGCAGTCGAGCGCGATGTCGCGTTCCTTCGGAACGAGATGGTGGAGCATCGCACGTCAAGCTTAGACTTCCTCGACGATTGCCTCATCGCGAAACTTCTCGGTCCGCGAACCGCCGCTGAGTTCGAGGATTCGGCTGGCGCTATGTCGCCCAGGGAAAAGCTCGCGTCCTTTTCTAGAAAGTGCGCCTGCCTCTGGCGGCAGCTCTACGGCGCGCGCCCTGGCCACTACAACCCCGCGGCCACGCGCGCGGCCAGTCTGAAGAGGGCCGCTGCCAGAGGCGTCCTGCGCCGCGCCACTGTTGGCGTTCTCGCTGCTGCTCGCCTGGCCGCGCAGTGCAGGCGCGCGCGCGCTGCCAGTGCAGCGCTACATCCTGGCGCAGGCGCGGATCGGAGCATCCGCTGGAGTGACGACTTGCAGAAGTTTCATCGCCGATCTGTGCGCAACATCGCTGGCGTCACGCAGGTTCGGGCGGCGCCAGGCGGCGTTTTTCTCAAGCCTCCGGGCGTTGACCTCGCCGCCTCCCGGGGCGCTCGCTCGGAGCCCGAGGGTCCATCGCCGCGCAGCCAGGTGGCGGTGCTCGTTGCCTCTGGTGCGATTGGGGAGATGCGACTGCGGGGCTCCGGAGAAGTGAAGGGGGCGCGCAGATGCGCGCTGGCATCTTTGGTTGTTGTCAGGGACCTCGCAATTCTCCGCGACTCTGCGTCGCTTGCAGCTGACGCGGACCTGGCAGTATCGTTCCTGTACATCGTGGCGCTTGGTTTGGGCGTCGTCGCCAGCGTTCAACCGGCTGCTGCTAGTTGCGCTCCAGGTCGTCTATTGCCCAGCCAATCTCTCAGACATGCTAGGACATGCGAGCAGAAGGCCAAACTCCGCGTTGAGGAGAGGTTGCGCGTGGCGCGCCCATCCGCGCGCAGCGGATCGCGGCGCGTCGCCCAAGCGCCTGGAAGCAAGATCGTCGTGGAAGCTGGCGGTGAGCCTGCCTCTGGCGGCGTTTCCTTTGGCGCGCTCTTGGGCGCGGTGAACTGGGCTATCTCCGCGCGGAAGGTTTGGAATGAGCTGGGCCCGAAGGTTCTCAGCTTTGACGGGGCGCGCTTGCGAACGTGAGGCAAAGAGATTTTGCCTCCCTTTCTCCATCGCCGTCGCCATCGCCAGCTATCGCCTTTCAATTCATTTCTGATAATTTTGATGTGGCCCTGAGAGGAGGAGGTGGAGGGGGATGGGGGGCGCAAGCTGTCGTATTCTGATGGGCGCGTTTGCTTTTTTTCTTGTTGTCAGAAGGTTTTCTGTTCGTGTGGCTCAGGTTTTCCGTGGTGCTGTTTGAGTCATCGTTGCCATTGTGTTTAGTTATTCCGGTGGTTATGTTTTCGCGTCGTTTCCTTTTTTGTTTTTATTCTAATTTGTTTTCGCGTGGTTCCGTGAGTTTTCGCTTCGTTCTGTGTCGTTTCTTCGTGTTGACGGTTTTTTGTTTATATACGTAGCGCCCCGCAATTGTGGATGAGAGTGAGGAGGGGCCGGAAGGAGAGGGTGGAAATGAACATGGGGGAGTGGCGGAATCGACTTCGGTGACTTTTTCAAGGCAAGGGCCGGGCTGCAGCGGCCGGTTCGGGCAACGGCCCAACGAGGGGGGCGCGCCGGCGCGCCTCTCCACGCACGGCAGTCCAGAAGCCCCCTGGGATCTGCTGGCCCGCCAAGTGCTTGGTCTCGAACTCGACGATGCACTCCCGGACCGCCGAAGTGCGCGCTTGCGCGCGGTCGTCTGGAACAACAGCACGCAGTCGCAAAGCCCGGGCTTTGGTTTCGAAGTCGCACGCCACCGGAACGCCAGCGTTCACCCGCGCAGAGCGCACCGGGCAAGAAATGCAACTGGTCGGCGCGACGTCGGCAGCCACGCGCACGGCAGCCGTGCAGTTTGGGCACTCGTGCCAAGCACCTGGCCGCGCCAAGAGAGCCTCAGAGCATGAACGAAACAGGTCCTCAAGGAAACGGGCACTGCACCCCAGAATCTCCCAAGGTCGTTTTTTTTTGAAACCCCGAGGGCGCGCGGGGAAACCCTGGGGGACGAAAGCGGCGATAGAAATGGGGGGCATTTTTCCTTGAGGCCCCCGTTCCGTCATGATGAACCTCGCGACGCGCAGCGGTGGCAGCTCGCAAGCCAGACTGGGGGCCACTGGGCGCGCGCGGGGCGCCATGGCGCACGAGGCGCTGGACTTTGGGTTTCGCGCGCGCCTTCGGCGCCACGCTCGGGCCGAGACGGCTGCGGAAGAAAGGCGGGAGGCGACCTCCACGCGCGCTCCCCCGGCGCGCCCTCCCGACGCGCCCTCCCGGCGCGCCCCCCCCGCGCGCCCTCCCCGCGCGCCCTCCCGGCGCGCCCTCCCCGCGCGCCCTCCCCGCGCGCCCTCCTGGCGCGCCCTCCCGGCGCGCCCTCCCGGCGCGCCCTCCCCGCGCGCCCCCCCCGCGCGCCCTCCCGCGCGCCGCCTCCTCTTTGAGCCGCGCGCGCACAGGGGCAGAGAATGGCCGTTCGGCCCCCCTCACTCTGATATATATATATATATATATATATATACATACACTTATTATTATCATGTTTAATTGTTGACAGCACATGCATCCGAATGTTTGCTGACAGAATAACGGTGGGCGCCAAATTCTGCAAACGGAAAAGTTGCGGGCGCCAATTTAGCAAACAGAAAAGTTGCGAACGCCAATTATGCAAACAGAAAAAGTTGCGAGCCCCAATTTTGCGAACAGAAAAGTTGCGAGCGCCAATTCTGCAAACAGAGAGGTTGCGAGCGCCAATTCAGCAAACAGAAAAGCTGCGAGGCCAAATTCCGCAAACAGAAAAGTTGCGAGCGCCAATTTTGCAGAGGGAAAAGCTGCGAGCGCCAATTTTGCAAACAGAAATGTGGCGAGCGCGAATTCTGCTAACAGGAAAGATGGCGAGGCGACAACTCACACTCCCAACTTCTGCTTTTTGCAAGCTACAAGGGCAAGGATTTCTGCAAACAGCCACCCTTAATTCTCTGACAACTCCAACGCCGACATTTCTTCTCATCAACTTTGCAAACGGCCGACTTGTCGACAACTCGACTTGTTGACAGCTCATGTGTCCGAATGTTTGCTGACAGAATAGCGGTGGACGCCAAATTTTGCAGACAGAAAAGCTGCGGGCGCGAATTTTGCAAGCAGAAAAGCTGCGAGGCCAAATTTAGCAAACAGAAAAGCTGCGAGCGCCAATTTTGCAAACAGAGAAGTTGTGAGCGCCTATTTTGCAAACAGAAAAGTTGCGGGCGCCAATTCTGCAAACAGAAACATGGCGAGGCGACAACTCACACTCCCAACTTCTGGTTGTTGTAAGTTTCAAGGACAAGAAATTCTGCAAACAGCCATCTTTTGTTTTCCGACAATTCCACCATCGGCGGCATGCTTGCTCAGCGAACTTGCCGCCGAGTGCGGCGTTGTGGAGGAAGAAGCGGAGGGGGAACATCAGGAGATGTTGTTAAGGCTGGCTTTGTCCACAATTCGCTAGCCTTGTAACATGAGAAATCCTTATGTTGGGAAGTCGAGTTGTCGGCTTTATTAAATCCTTTATAGCCCACAACTCAAATGCCAACCATCAGGATTTCTCATATTGTCAGGCTAGCGGATTCCAGTGTTCGCTAGCCTTATAACATATAAAAGCAGATGTTGGGCAACCGAGTAGTCGGCTCTTGGCCGGAAGCGATGTCGCCGCTCTTGTAGTTGTGGTGGAATCAAGGATGGTTGTTTGCAAAATTCTTTGTCCTTGTAACTTACAGAAACCAGAAGTTGAATCTACGAGTTGTCGACAAGTCGGTCGTTTGCAAAGTTGATGAGAAGAGATGTCGATGTTGGAGTTGTCGGAGAATTAAGGGTGGCTGTTCGCAGAATTCCTTGCCCTTGTAACTTACAAAAAGCAGAAGTTGGGAGCGTGAGTTGTCGCCTCGCCATTTTCCTGTTAGCAAATTTCGCGGCCGCCACTTTTCTGTTTGCAAATTTGGCGCTCACATTTGTTCTCTTTACAGAATTGGCGCTCGCAGCTTCTCTGTTTGCAGAATTTGGCCTCGCAGCTTTTCTGTTTGCAAAATTGGCGCTCGCAACCTTCTGTTTGCAAAATTTGGCCTCGCAGCTTTTCTGTTTGCAAAATTGACGTTC